ATTAGAATCCCAATGCAAACTTGATGCCAGGTCCCAGGAGCAGTGCTGCTGGAGACTCCCCAGTAGAGCTGAGGCTTTACCCACCTTTGATCTACAGTAGGGAAATCTAATCTATGGACTATGGAGGGCCTCCAACACAAGTCGGCCTGAGGTCACTGGGAAGGCAGAGCAGCAAAGGTAGGGTTTCAGCAGCTCACAATACCTTCTCTGTGGCCAAACAAAGGCCTGACCTCTGAGCCATGTCTGACCTTTCAACTCTGACATATGAGTTTACTCAGCAATAACAGTTTAAACTACCAAAGGGGCAGTTTCATCATTTATATCAAAGGGAATAATTTAAAGCTTCCATGGATCCCATCACAAAAAAATCTAGATGAGTCTTTGCACTCACAAACAAGGAAACTTCTCTTTTACCAGCACATACAACTGCTTGGTACCCAAGACGGAGAGTTAGAAGGGAGGACTGACCCCAAATCACAGAAGTTCAAAAATCTAGTAAGTGAGCTGAACAAGATCTTGATTTTCTTTAAATGCTAAAAGGGTAATAGTAGAGTAAGAAGATGTCATTGTTTAAGAGGGGGGATTGCTGTACTGACTGAACCTCACTCAAGACAAATCTGCTGTGAAAATTTGGGAGATACCATTTTCCAGTTTGGTAATCTAGCGGTAACCCCTCCCACCCCACCCCCCCCGCCCCATGATTTGACAGCACTGAATTAACAGAGCTGTTCTGAGAAGATAGATACAGAGATGGAAATTTGAGAAACACTACATTTCAGTGTACCTTTGGGCAAAACAAACTCATCTACCCTCACGCGCGGAAGTTGGCTGTGTTCACTAGTAAGAGCACGCTGGAAAATCGATGGGCTGCATGTCTTAAAGTTGAAATGTAGTCAGTGACTCAGTGGTCCCTCTCATTGGCAAACTCAGCAGAAAGGGAAAAGCATCCTACCTGCACCAGAAGGCTTGTAGAGGACGCCAATTTCGTCAGAAATCCAGCCCCCCTGGGGAAGGCCAAGTGTGTCATCAACAGATGAACAGATCAGTGCTGGGCATCCATAAAGACAGTGCAAACTCCTGCTATGAAGCAACGTGGTGAATCTCACGAATGTTGAGTGAAAGAGGCCAGGTACATGCCATAGAATTCCACTTACCTGAAGTTCAAAACCTGGCCTAGCCAATGCATGCCAACAGAAGTGAGCATATGGCTGCCCTTGGGCTACAGAGTCTGCTTTGTTGGCTTGGGTGGTCGTGGCACAGGTGTGTGCGCTTTGTGAACCTCATTGAGCTGTCTGTCCATTTAGGTTTTTCTACCTTTCTGTATGGATGCTTCAGTAGAAAGTTTACATTGAAAATTTAACTTATCTAGGTTTGTCGGACAATTTAACAGTTGCATCCATGTCCTGGAGAATGTTGACATGTGAATTATAAACTAGAGTGCTACTTCAGAATCGACCTGGATCTCCTCATTTTACCAGTGCCACACTGCCTGGTACCGGCCACCTGGGCTCTTCCTGCTGTGGGCCAGTCACTTGGAGAACACTGTGTACTGGGCAAAGCCAGGTGCCTGGAGGGTGGGGACTGTGGCCAAAGCCAGAGCCTCAGACAAGCAGGGGTGAACCTGCCACCTGGGCATACTTCGTGTGCTTGAAGGGGAAGTATTTGCAGACGTCTGCTATATACCCAGACACCTGTGTGCAGCATTTTAATTCCATTCTGTCTACCCCAGGAGTCAGGGCAGACAAAACCCCCAAGATTCGGGAAGGCTACATAACCAGCCCAGGAGGGGCCCTCAGCTAGTAGGACACAAAGTTGGATTCATCATTGGTTCCACTCTGGCACGCAGAACCCCACTGAGAGCATATCACCTTGTGCTGTCTCCAACATTGGGTGGGGGTGGAGGTCTGGAGGTGACAGTGGGTGCAGGGGCAGGAGGAGGAGAAAGATGACCTAATATAGAAAGTAGGTGAGGGGATCCCTGGGTGGCGCAGCGGTTTGGCGCCTGCCTTTGGCCCAGGGCGCGATCCTGGAGACCCGGGATCGAATCCCACATCGGGCTCCCGGTGCATGGAGCCTGCTTCTCCCTCTGCCTATGTCTCTGCCTCTCCCTCTCTCTGTGACCATCTAAAAAAAAAAAAAAAAAAAAAAGTAGGTGAGAAGCACCTTTTTTTTTTTTTATTTATTTATGATAGTCATACAGAGAGAGAGAAGCAGAGAGAGAGGAGAGACATAGGCAGAGGGAGAAGCAGGCTCCATGCACTGGGAGCCCGACGTGGGATTCGATCCCGGGTCTCCAGGATCACGCTCTGGGCCAAAGGCAGGCGCCAAACCACTGTGCCACCCAGAGATCCCGAGAAGCACCTTTCAATAATCAATTCAGGGGGCTCTTAATGACCCAACACCCTCTACCTCTACCCCAGGCCCACATCCAGTAGACCAGTACAACCAATACACCTCCATGACATGCTCCTGAGCTTGCCTCAAGGCTGTTTGCCTCCCCTTCCCTAAAGACGGCGTGGAGCCTGGCCCAGGGTGGGCACTCTAGAATTACCTCCTTAGTCCTTATGGCTTCTCTCGGTTTCAATGACAAGAGCCCCGGGGCTCCTGGAGGATTCAGATCCAAACATGTTTGTGAGGAAAAACAAAAATGAATGCACACAAGACATTGGGAAGAGCCCATCTCCTCCCAAATCCTGCTTCTCAGCAGCACCATGGGAAACGGCAGTGCACACAGCTGACAAGTGCCAGGCAGTGCCAGAAAGGTGTCCCATATGAAAACCACAGTGTCGGGATCCCTGGGTGGCGCAGCGGTTTGGCGCCTGCCTTTGGCCCAGGGCGCCATCCTGGAGACCCAGGATCGAATCCCACGTCGGGCTCCCGGTGCATGGAGCCTGCTTCTCGCTCTGCCTATGTCTCTGCCTCTCTCTCTCTCTGTGTGACTATCATAAATAAATAAAAATTAAAAAAAATATTCGAGTTAACTCTCACCCATTACTTCCGTTTAAAAAAAAAAAAAAAAAAAGAAAACCACAGTGTCAGAATGCATCCCTGGTGGGTTTAGGGATGCCCAAGGGCCACACCCAGCAGACCAGCATGGAAATAGGCAGAATATGGTAGAGTTCGGTCTTACACTCAGCATGGACACAGTGAAGCTGTAAAGCCAGATACAAATCATTAGAGGGTCACTAAATTCCCCAGGGCTCCAGTGTTGTGCTGGAGTCCAAGTCAGGCAGGTGACCGCCAGAACCAAAGGGTGGTCTCTATGTAGGGACTGGGGATGGTCTGTGGATCACGTTCACAGGCAGACCCATGGGCGCGACTGCACGCTGGGGGAGGCTCCTCTCTGACACGGACCATCAGAACCAGCAGAGCTGGCCCTGCTTCCTCACCCCCATGGAGCTTGAGGGGAAGGAGGGGCCACCCCCTCCATCCCTCAGCCCCAGCTAGCATTCCTGAGCAGCAGTCAGCCCCGCTTCTGTCCTGTGCTGCCAGCGAGTTCTAACCTGAGAACTTGGTTAACAGGATGACAGAAATGAGAACTCTGTCATGGTAGAAGTCTATGTTGTAGTCCATTTTGCTACATTTGCCCAAATTTGCCTTAAATGCATCCCAGTAAAGGGGCGCCTGGGTGGCTCAGTTAAGCGTCCGACTCTCGGTTTTGGCTGGGGTCATGATCTCAGAATCATGAGATGCAGCCGCTCAGTGGGCTCCTTCCTCAGCGGAGAGTCTGCTGCAGATTCTCTCCTTCCCTCTGCCCCTCCCCCCTCCTCCCTTTCCACCCCGTGCTCACATGCTCCCTCTCTAAAAAATTAAATAAATCTTTTCAGAAAATAAAACCCGGCACAGCTCTCGACCACAAAATGCTATGGAGCTTGCACTTGAACGTGTGACTGGGGGTGGGGGGGGGAGGTTTACACCCCTGACCATGTCCAGGGAGGACAGGGAAGCAGGAAAGCATCCTGTACTGCACTCAGAGGAGTTGCAGCTGGGCTCTGCTCTGTCCCTAACGAGGTATGTGGTCCAGGTCAAGCCTCACTTTACCCTTTGCTTTTCAGAATGTCTAAAGCTTCTCATGGCTCAAAAATTGCTACTGATAAATGTACAGTGGTGACAGCTGGGTTTGAGGCACCATGCTGTGCACTCTACATGCATCAGTTCATTCACTCACAGACCAAGAGGAACCTGCAGTGTCCCCATTGTCCAGATGAAAAAAGTGAGGTTTTTTCACTATTAAAGGACCAAGCCAGGACCAGACTCCAGGACCAATTCCAAAGCCTTCATACCAACACAGTGCCCCTGAATCCCATCATCACAGCGGCACATCCCCTGTTGAGCTCAGGGGCTGAGTCTGGGAGACAAGCTGGCTCCTCGGGCTCTGTCTGCCTTTTTGCCCCCACTCCTGTTAATCCCCCTCTCACACTTGCTCTCACCTGTAACGAGGGATTAATAACAAAGGTTACCAGCTCTTAAGGGCTCTTGTGGGCAAAGCCTACTCAAACATCAACAAGTGGTACAACACAGCTCTCCTCCAGCACATCACACTAGGACTCCGAACACTATTTCTGAGAGCATTTCGGTCCGGTCGGAATTCTGTGACAGCAACACAGTTAAGTCACAGGCTCCGTCTCACCTGGGTGATTTCCCAAACGTGGTTACGGGCCACACCCCCAGTGTCTCAGGCTGAAGAGGGACGGGGCCATGGTTGAGGATGGGCCAGACCCTTACGGAGAAATCTCTCAAGAGTGGGCCTTCCGGAGAGGCACCAATCGTTAAAAACAGGACCGTCCTGACCATAACTCACATATTTGAATGACACAACAAACCCACAAAAACCTCTCATTAAAACTGTGTAGAAGTGATGCACTTAAATACTTTTTAGTCTGAGCAAGGGAGGCATTTTTTTTTTTGACTCCTCACATTTTTAAAAGTTTTCCACAATAAAAGTATTCTTTAAAGTACAATAATTTTCACCACCACAGATTTAGAATTTTGGATAAGAATATATTTTCTCATAAAAGTTCTACCAAAAATAGACTTTTTCTTTAACTTAAAAATACAGCTTTGGAAAGCAAAATTGGGAGTTGTTACACGTCATTACATATTTTATAAACAGTAGTGAAAGAAATCAACAGGATGGATTAAATTTTCAAATATAAAAATGCTCATTTCAAAAGCTTGACTTTGTCCTTTAGTAACTTAAAGGTGGGGTTCTTGCTGATTTTCTTGTTAAAGATGGTCAGGAGCTCCTCTTCCGATCTGTGATGCTCATTCGTGACTGCGTAATACTGTGCCAAGACCTTCACAAAGAAAAACAAAAATCAAATGGGTGATTTTTCCTGAAAATCTACCTAAAAGTACCCAGAAGTAGGCCAACAGTAAAAAATGAAAGAAGCCCAGGTGTTGATCACACAGGTGTGTTCTGCTTGTGGAAATCCAGGCAGCTGTATATACAGGAACACCTGCTGCATGTGTGTCACACAGTGACACAAAATTAAAAGCAAAATCAGAAGAAACCATTGCTCTGGAATAAGCAAAAGAGCAAAACACCGAAAACAGTAATTTTCACATATATACTGTTCTGGCTAAGGAACTATGATGGGATCCCGCCCAATTCCCTCCCATCAGCCCTGAGGGGCTAGTGAGCAGCTTGAAAATCACCAGGATACAAATGTGTAATAGATAAGAAATTAAAGAAAAAACCAAAAACTGTACATCTTACAATAAAGAAGGGACTCTCTCCAGCTTCTATACCAGGGTTTGTGCACCATACCTTTTTCCTCAGCTTTTTGATTGCTAGTTCATTGTCTGGGGCCTGTTTCAGAACTGCTTTAATAGTTCCCTTCCAGTTGAATTTACCTACAATATAAAGAATAATACGTAAAACATTTGATTTTAGTGTCACTACCAAAGGGATAAGGAAACCCTCTGTGTGACATTTATTTTGCTACCCAGGAAATGAACCAGCCCTGACACTACCGAGTAGCAGGTGCCTGACCTGTCAGATCGCAAGCCTGACTCCCCTTCCAGGAACTTGCTCTTGGAGGGAGTGGGTCAGGCAGGCATCCTAAGTACCATCACCACTATGAGAATAAAGTAGGAAGAATAAGTTACTCAATTTCAAGACTTCTGATCAAGACTATAGTAGGGACAGATGCACAGGTCAATAACACAGAATTAAGAACCTGGAATAGCACCACACAAATATGCCAAGCTCATTTTTGACAAAGGTACAAATCAATTCAAGGAGATAAAAGCCTTCTCAACAAATGATGTTGGCACAATCATACACTGTTGGGCAAAAAAGCGAACCCTGTACTAAATCTCGTACTTTACATAAAAATCTACTCAAAATGGATCACGGACTTAAGAGTAAAATACAAAACTGTAAAACATGGAGAAAAATCATTGGAAAAAAACTCTTTCGGATCTAGGGCTAAAGCCAAGAGTTCTCAGATTTGGCACTAAAAGTGTGACCTGTTAAAGGGAAAATTACATATCAGGCTTCATCAAAACTAAAAACTTTGCTCCATAAAAGATTCTGTTAATGGGGTGCCTGGGTGGCTCAGTCGGTTGAGTGTCTGATTCTTGATTTTGGCTCAGGGTTTTGAGGTCGAGCCCCTTGTCAGGCTCTACAGGGAGCGTACAGCCTGCTTGGAGGTCTCTCTCCTTCTGTCCCTCCCCTCCCCCACTCGTGTGTTTTTTCTCTCTCTCTCGGAAAAAAAAAAAGGGAAAAAAATTTTCAAAAATTGCTAAGAGAATAAAAAGACAAAATACAAACTGAAGGGAAAAAAAACTTACAAATCATGTATCCCACAAAGGATTAGTATTTAGGACTGGATATGTAAAGAACTCTCAGATCTTAACAGTAAGAAAGAAAACCCAATTTGAAAATGGGCAGAAGACAGGAACAGATGTTTCAATAAAGAGATACACAGATGGCAAGTAAGTACATGAAAAGATGTTCATCATCATTACAGATAAATTAAAGTCACCCCAAGCTACTACTACACACTTAGCAGAATGGGAAAAAACAAACAAACAAACAAACAAACAAAACAACAAAGAAAAAAACCACCACCACCAAAGCCTGACCAGGACGTGGGAAAACCAACCGAGTGCATCTCATGCTGCTGGGGCAATACAGAACACTACAGCCATCCAGGAAAATGCCAGCAGTTTCTTTAAAAACTCAGTGCAGTCACCACACCACACAGCAACATGCTCCTGGATGTTTCTTCCAGAAAAAGTGATGGGTGTTCCACACAAAAACATGTACATAAATGCTGACACAGCTTTATTCACAGCAACCAGAGACTGGAAACCACCCACAAGTGTCCTTCTAGAGATGAATGGTCAAACAAACTGGCCCATCCATGCCATGTGGTGTTCCTTAATGAACATTAAGACTGGATTACCAATTCCTGCAGCAACCTGGATGTATCTTCAGAGAATAAGGCTGAGTGAAAAGAGTTAATCTAAAAAATTCACATACTAAATGATGCCACTTGGGTAACATTCTGCAAGTATGAAATGACAGAAATGGTGACAGACTAGTGATTGCCAGGGGAGAACTGGGCATGGCTCCACAAGGACCCACAGCGGGGCTCCCCGTGGCAGTAGAAACGTCGTCCATGACCAGTATCAGTGTCGGCACCCTGGTGGAGATTCCTAGCTGTATGGGGTATGACTCCTGGAGGAAACCAGGAAGAGAATATATGGATAGCTAGGTCTCTAGTATTTATTCCAACTGCACGTGAATCTACCATTGCTTTAAAACAACAAATGAATTTTAAAAAGCCTCGCATGTTCCAAGTCAGGAGTGGGTGGGTTCCAAGCTAAGATATCTAACCTAGCTTAGGCAGTTACTGACTGCCTAATTAATCAGGGCATTAATAAAGCCCTGATTCCCATTTGAATCCTGCAGTCTCTTCTTAATCAGCAGGACCCCAGGGAGCAGCTCTGGAGGAGGCAGCATTTAGCAGAACCATGAAGGCCAAGGACTGGATTCTGACAAGCACACAGCCTGGCTCAGGGAGCCGGTGGCCACAGAGTTCCAAGCAAGGAGACGCAGGGAAGAGCCAGTGGTGGGAGGGAACAGCTCAGTGTGGCAGGCACTTAGAGGAGAGTGAGAGGAGCAGAGGCAGGAAAGCAGGGAGAAGGGAAAGGGAACACAGTCTCAGAAAGCCATACAGGGTTTATCTTCCGCTCCAAAGATCATGTATTTCCAGTCCAGACAGTTTCACCCATAAAGCTAGAGAGAGGTTGGAGGGTGGCCCACAGAGCACTCCCTGGTTCCTCGGGAGCTGCACCTGAGTCTGCCTTCAGTCTTCCCTTCATCTGGAGGGGCCGATCTGCACGTAGGCCCTGGGTCATCTCCCCTCTACCCCAAGAGGGCAGACCTCTCCAAATAATGGCAGTGATACCTTTTGCAGGAGATTCGTGGTCCTCTGGTTCTCCACCCTCTGAAGGTCCTGAGAGCTTTATCTTTTTCTTCTTAGATTCTATGTCATCTAGGTAAGTAAAAAGATTAAAAAAAAAAAGATGAGCATTTCTGGTAGCAGCTACCATTCAATGAAAGGCATGAGTGGCCAGGACCCGAACACCCGTGTCATCTTGCCCACTGCCCAAGCAACCCCTCCCCATGGGCTCCTTCTCCGCGTCATAGGAGCACATGGTGAGGAGAGGGGGGTGCACTTGCCTAGCCGGAGCCCAAAGCTTATGCTGTCTGCGTTATGGTCCAAACGTGAGGTCTAACAGATTTTACATGTCCCCAACTCACTGGTTCACAATATACTTGACAAAGCCCAGAGCATACACTAGCCACACACACCTTCCGAGTGCTTCTGCTTTCTCTTCCCAGGCCGGGCTTTCCTGGACTCCTCGGCGTCTCCCTCCTCAGCTCTGTCAGCAGCTCCCTTGGCCTCACCCGCCTTGCTCTGGCTCTTCTTCCCTGCAGAGGCAGGGGCCTCCTCTCCGGCCTCCTGGCCTGTTTTGCGCTTCTTAGGCTTCTGACCTTTCGAATTCTCTTGGTGGTTTTCTAATTTTAGTTCTTTCTTCTCTTTCTTTCTATTCTTCTGCCTTTCTTCCTTCCTTTCTCTTTTATTCTTCTTTACCTCTGCTTGCTTTTCTGTGGGGTCATTTGTTCCAACGGCTAGAACCTTGGCAGAGAGCTCTGCGCGGGGCGGGCTGGCCACCTGGGCGAGTGGCTGCTGGGCTTGACCCTTACTGACTGCTTCCTTATTACAAAGCAAAACCGAGAGACACATAAATACTCCAGACCATTGTTCACATCACTGCATGTGTCAACTGAGCAAACTGTTCAAGAAAAAGGTCTACTACTTACCATTTTATAACTCTGACCACCCCCAGCCCCCTGCCAAGAGCTAAAACATAGCAGTAAGTATATCAAATGCAAAATAAACTTCCCCCAGCCCACACTCCACCCTGCGTTTAACAGACATTTTCATTCTACTGGAAAAGTAAAGAATTCTTATGTCACTTAAGCTAGACCTTCAATTCTGGCTCACTCTTCGCCTTTCTTCCTGATAGAAGATGAGCACTCAGGTGTGGCAGAAACCACAGGATTTGTGCATCTGCAGACCTGGGTTCAAGCACCAACTCTGTGAATTACTAGCCGGGTGACTCAGGGCAAGTTATTTATCTGCTCCAAACCGATTTCCTCACCAATAAAATGGAAGGTAGTTAATATTTACCTTATACAGCTAATGTGCGAATAAAATGGGAAGTAATGTCATGTGCTTATTAGCAGCTCGTGATGCTCAGTAAGGAGTGGACTGAGGCGGCGGCAACCACTGGACTTCTGCACCTAAGACCTGTGCCCCAGCCCCATCTTCATTGGTTACCAGCCAGGGGACAAGCGAGTCACCTCCAGTCTTCCTTTGGGAGACTGGGTCGCAAGGAGGGAGCTCCTACTCCACCCCCCGCCCCCAAACTGAGCCGAAGAAAGGACTGGCTTTGATTCTGGCCTCATTCAGTGCTCAGCCCCAGCCACGAGTGCAGCCCCTAGGAGAGGGACTGCAAACTAACTGGCTGCCGTGTCCCCAGCAGCTCAGAGAAGTCAGTCAGGCCAGGTACATGGGGGCAGGCAGAGAATGAGCTCAGAAACCAGACTCAGGAGGAAAGAAGAGACAAAGTCGCCTCACTCCTGGCCTGCAATTTCATTCTTATTTTAGAATCAGGCACAGTTATGCCCACTGAGAGCCACAGACCTCAGCCTGCCTTCCACCCAATCCCGACCATGTCTCTAGCTGGTGCCTCCCCTCTGCACCCAGAAGACAGTCGCCCCATCTGGCAGCCACTCTGTAACAGGGGGACGAACTCCTTTCCCACCTTTTTTCTACTTCATTACAGACTCTCTCTTCAGTGACGCCTCCGCTGACCCTCTTTCCTAACAGAGCCCCTCCCACCTTCCATCCCTCCTTCTGCCTTCTATCTCTTCCTTGTGCTTCCCACGCCCTGTCCTGCTGTTCTGGCCCAGACCCACATGTGGTCGCCTGTCCTACACTGGAACGTAGCTCTGCAATGGCAGGACTTTGGCCTGAGGACAGCTGCCTGCATAGGGACCAGGCACGCTCTGTGCTGGAGCAGACAAAGCAGCCCAGTAGAAGAGGACAAAAGGCCTCTAGCTGGCTGGATAAACACCAAGAGGCATGAACGGATGGGGCCACAGGGCCGTTTGCTTTTGCCACACACAGAGATGTGCTGTGAAGTCCATAGGACAGAGGCAAAACACCAAGCCATGTTTTAGAGTTATAGAGTTCAGTTTATAATAAGCTACATACTGGTTATTCATTTCTTAATATGTTCACAGTTTCAAAAGGGAAATCAGAAAAAAACTTAAAAAAAAAAAACAACTCTGCAGTGTACTAAGTAATTCCAAATCTTTGATTCTCACTTAAAATTCTGGAAGTAACCTTTAAAAAGCAGGTGCCACAGAAATGCTAATTAAATGGTTACAGCGTTCACTTCAGCACCGCACGTACTACAACTAGAATAATGCAGAGAAGATTAGCACAGCCCCATGCAAGGGTGGCACCAACGTGACTAGTTCTAAGATGCCAAAGACCCAACCTGTATGTTCTGGAAGAGACAGATCCCAGGACAGTGTCACGGTTATCCCAATGTGCTGCCCAAATTATTCTGTGTATGTCAGTCAACTCCTGGCAATATGAGTAGAATAAAATACAGTCAGAAAATCCCACTGTCGTTTTAAAAACTACTAATGATGTAAGTCTCCAAATGGGATATAAGCAAGGTGCAGGTGGAATACATGGGGAAAAAATTTTAAATTAACAGCATCACCAATAAGGTGGCCATAGGATATCAAACCGAGACTCTCTGCATGTAATCCACATCCAGGGGTCTCTCAGATCAAACCTGACAGGTGACAGACTGAATCATGTCAGTGGGGTTCTCACTCCCCAGAGGGAAGGAGACAGATGCTCAGCAGGTACCCACTATACAAAACACCCACAGAAAGAGGTGCTTTAATAGCTTCAGCTGCTTTAATGCCTTAACATATACGGGGCCTTCTGTGGGCCCCTCACCTAAAAGAACACCTCGTCACTCCCATGTCCTCAACTGTTTATTTCTCTTCATGGCACCGTCGCCACCTGTGATATTTTACATTTTTTGTTTAGGGCATGGCACAGATCATGTGCTCACCAAGTACTGAATAAATGCATGAATGGGACTACCCGCTTTTCTTTAAGACAAGGAAACGGAGGCTCAGAGAGGTAAAATAAAGTGCCCAAGATCAAACATTTGGCCAACAGCACAGCAGGGATTCAAACCAGGTCTGTCAGACACCCAGAGCCCCTGTTCTTTCCATTATATCCCACTGCCTGATTTCTAACCCAAGTTGTCTCATGTTAGCTGGTACTGTTATCAAACATTGGGATTAAATACCTTTCTCTGCACAATAAGGAAATCTTCTCTGCAGTACATTCAGTTTATTCTTCCCCATAAATGAAGGCACAAAGAGGCTCTCTGCAAAAGAAGGCTGTCTTGACCTCCAAAAATAAGACATTCCCATTTCATTATTACTAATCACTTTTGCCACACTACAAATCTAAAATTAGATCCGACTTACGTTGCTGGAAGCTTCAGAAAAGATATTCCACACCTGCTCCAGAACAGATTCATTATGGACTTTTAAACTGTTCTTCATCCAGTTCTATAAGGAACAAAAAGAAAAACAAACACCACTTGTTCCATTTTGACAGGTACAGGTAAATGCGAGCTCAGTCACCAAGGGGCCACACATCCCCTCCAGTCAGGGAAGGCAGAGCAAATACATACCTGAAATTTTGCCCTTTTCCTGGGAACGTTGTCAAAACCACTAATTTGCTCTAAAAGTTCCCTCACTTTGGGGCTGACATTGGGTCTTTTTATTAATTCATTAATTTTCTACAAAAAAGGAAGATGAAATAAAAATAATAAACAAGTGGCACAGGAGCTTCATGAAAGACAAATTAAGCATCCTTCCCATGGCTAGAAGTTTCTCATTTCAAGGCTAGATTTATTTATTTATTTATTTATTTATTTATTTATTTATTTATTTATTTATTTATTTATTTATTTTTAAAGATTTTATTCATGAGACACACAGAAAGAAAGAGAGCGAGAGACAGAGACACAGGCAGAGGGAGAAGCAGGCTCCATTCAGGGAGCCCGACGTGGGGCTCGATCCCGGGTCTGCAGGATCAGGCTCTGGGCCGAAGGCAGTGCTAAACCGCTGTGCCATCTGGGCTGCCCCTCAAGGCTAGATTTTATATTAACATCTATGCATACAAATTCACCAGTGTACTAGGAGTCTTTGCCAGAGCAATTAGGCAAGAAAAGGAAATAAAGGCATCCAAAATAGAAGTAAATTCATCTCTGTTCATAAATGATTTTGTCGTAACACGTACAACACCCTAAAGATTCCACAAAAAAATGCCATTAGAACTGATAAATTCGGGGATCCCTGGGTGGCGCAGCAGTTTAGCGCCTGCCTTTGGCCCAGGGTGCGATCCTGGAGACCTGGGATCGAATCCCACGTCGGGCTCCCGGTGCATGGAGCCTGCTTCTCCCTCTGCCTGTGTCTCTGCCTCTCTCTCTCTGTGTGTGTGACTATCATAAAAATTTTTAAAAATTAAAAAAAAAAAAAGAACCGATAAATTCAGCAGTCACAGGATGCAAATCCACACTTGAAAATTAAGTTCTAGGTTTCTATACACTAACAATCTAAGAAGGCAATTAAGAAAACAATTCTATTTATAATAGCATCAAAAAGAATGAAATACTTAAAAATAAACATACTTGTTAAGGAGGGGAAAAACTTGGACACAGAAAACTGTAAACATTATTGGAAATAATTTAAAGACACAAATAAATGGAAAGACATCCATGTTTGTGGGTTGGAAGACTTAATAACAAGATGGCAATACTAATCAAAGTGATGTACAGATTCAAATGTAGTCCCTATGAAAATCCAATTGACATTTGTGGTTTTTTGCAGAAATAGAAAACTCTATTCTAAAATTCACATGGAATCTAAAGGGACAATAACTATAACAATCTTGAAGAAGAATTAAGTAGGAAGTCTCATGCTTTCTGATTTCAAAGCTCACTGCAAAGTTAGAGTAATCAAAAAAGCATGGCACTGGCATAATGATGGACATATCAACCAGTACAATGGGGAGCCCAGAAATAAACCTCGCCTATATGGGCAAATGATTTTCAAAAAGAGTGACAAGACCATTCGGTGGGGGAAGACCAGTCTTTCCACAAACAGTACTGGAAAAAATGGGTATCTACATGGAAAGGAATAAAGCTGAACTCTAACTGTATACAAAAATTAACTTAAAATGGATCAAAGACCCAAACTTAAAAGCTAAAACCATAGAACACTTAGGAGAAAACAGGGAGAAAGTGCCATGACAATGGATTTGGCAATCATCTCTTGTATGTGATCCCAAAAAAAGCACAAAAACAACAAAAATCAAGTTGGACTACATAAAAATTTTATAATTTTTTGTACATCAAAGACATTGTCAACAGAGTGAAGAGGCAGTTCAGGGAATAGGAGAAAATATTTGCAAATGATTTATCTGATAAGGCCTTCATATCCCAAATATATATAAAGAACTCCTAAAACTCAGAAACAAAAAAAAACCCCAATTAAAATATGGGCAAAGGGCTGGAATAAACATTTCTCCAAAGAAGATATTACAAATAGCCAATAACACATGAGAAGCTACTCATCATCATCATCATCATTAGGGAAATACAAATCAAAACCACAGCAAAATACTCTGTTATACCCCCTTAGAATGCCTATTTTATCAAAAAAGCTGAAAAATAAGTGTTGGGGAGTATGTGGAGGAATCGGAACCCTTGTGCACTGCTAGTGGGAGTGTCAAATAGTGCAGCCACTATGGAAAACAGTATGGTGGTTCCCCCAAAAACTTAAAAATCCAGCTATTCCACTTCTGGATACATGCCAAAGAGAACTGAAAGCAGGGACTCAAACATATTTGTAGACCCATGTTCACAGCAGTATCATCCACAATAGCCAAAGGCTGAAGCAACTGAGGTAACTGTCAGCATATGGTATATAAACAAAATATGGTCCATCCATACAATGGAATATTGCTCAACTCTGAAAAGAAAGACCATTCTGACACACGCTGCAGCATGGACGAAACTGGAAGGCATCATGCTCAGTGAAATAAGCTAGTCACAAAAAGAACAAATACTATGTGAGTCCACTTATATGAAATCCCTAGAATAGTCAAAGTCCTAGAGACAGCACAATGGTGGGTGCCAGGGGATGGGGAGGAGGAGATGTGAAGACGTAGTGTTTGACAGGACAGAGTTTCAGTCTGGGAAGATGAAAAAGTTCTGGAGATGGGATGGTGGTGATGGCTGCACAATGTGCAGGTACATAACTGTGTACTTAAAAATGGTTAAAATGATAAACTCTATGTCATGTATAATTTGCCACAATTTAAAAAAAAAAAAAAACCTTGGGAAAATAAAGAAAATAACCCAAAAGTGATGAAAAGAATCAGACAAAAATGATACTACAGACAAGGAAATTACTTGAGGACCAAGGTGACAGGCAGCATTAAGATCTAATAAATAAATCTAATAAATAAATAGCAAGAACAGAACAAAGATGAAAATTAAATTAGTGACCTAGAGAAAATGCTGATGGCAATCTCAGTGAAGGCAGAGGAAAAAGACAATTATTATAGTTTGGACAAGAACAGTACATAAGAAAGATGGTCACTCACAAGCCAACAAAAGGACAAGTAACAACAAACGGACAATGTCCCTGTGTTAGGAAAGAATGAAAGCTATATATAAACAGACCACGAAAAAATGGGTCCAGGATACTAAGAGGAGGATGAAACAAAGATTCTCTAGGCACTCAGGCAGAACAAATCTGGACAGTGACACAAACATCCATAAGGAAGATGCCAAGTGGGCTGGGCACTTGCCAGAGTGGCATACGGTGTCAGAAGACAACAGGGCATTAATGACAAAGTTTGAAGGAAAACACTGTGACCCAAGCAAGCGGGCGATCTCTCCCTGACCGTAGTATCCATCTGTGGGTAAGCAGAGAGACATCTAGAAGGATACTCATTAATACTGACAAGATTCCAAAATTTTGTCTCTAAAACTATAGAGTTTAAGAATTTAAAGAAAACACAAAACCCCTGAATCCACTTCCATCAGAGAGTTCACAGCAGGCTGGATTTATTCTCCCAGTGTATCACATTTAGTCTGTTCCATCTGTAACTTGTCAACTAGAGGTTTAGGGAGGACAGCTGGCTAGTGGACCAGGGGACCAGGACAGAACCTGAAGGAGAACTCTTGTCTATAATACAGAGACGCTGCTACTAAGGCCTGACAGTTTACAGCAGAGGGTAGCAAACCTTCTGCCCCAACTACTCATCACCCTTGCAGCTCTAAGTAACAATGGATGATACGTAAACAAATGGGCATGGCTGTGGTGGACTGTGGTTTGCTGACCCTGCCTGTAGAGAATTTCATTCAACATAGGACAGAACTCATACACCCAAGTACCTCAAGCTTGAGGCCTACAGAACATTATCTGTTTCTCAAGGGGGATTAACATATAGCATGAGCCCAATAGTGAGGCTTATGCCACTAGCCTATGCATCTTAGTTAGGAGAAGTTTCACTAGCTTCTCAATCTGCACTGGGCAGATTAGTCCTTTGTGGATGAAGGACTTTCCCTCCCAGGAGCTTGCTGACTCCGTAAGCTAGTGAATACCAGAAAACTCACTTTCAACCCCTATCATCAAAGGGAGTTAACTATTATTTATTTGGTTTCTAGAATAGAGAATTTCCACAAAGACGGCATTTGTCCTTTTTATCTCCTACCTTCTATTTTGATCCTTCCTTCTGCTATCCGTTCAGTAAGTGGTAAGTACCATTCTGGAAGGTATACCTGTCAATTAGGGATTTTGCTGCTTTTGCCATTTTTTACTGTGCATGTTTCCACTTCATTTAAGTAGAAAATTCCTTATACTTAAAGGAGGTAAGTATTAGAAAGCTTCCATTCAGTTTTGTAGCCATGGGAAAGACCATGAGAATTCTAAATTGTTTCTGCAAGTCTGCAAAGCCTATGGCTTAAAGACAAAATACACTGCAACTGTATTAAACAGAGAAAGAACTCTGTCATGATTTAGTTGTTTAACTTCAGTCTGTTCCAAGACATGATGTTTCTGCGTCTCATCTGCACATATGATGCATATATTCTTAGGCTTCCAGAGAAAGTAGACTATATCAGAAGAAGCTACCTGATGAACCAGAAGGAACTTACCTGAATCCATGCCTGCTGTTTAACATCACCTTTGTGGGTTTTACCTTCATAACCTTTGCCACCATACTTTTGTTCTTCACTGATGCATTTCACATGGTTTTTGTAGTCATCACCCCTTCAGAGTGAAAGAAAGTTCTACTGTCAGACTGATTCTCCAACTGGAGGCTCCATCCAGTGCTCACAGGCTGCCCCTACCTTTTGCATTCCAGTTTTACTATGCTTATAACCTCATCAGGCACATTTTTCTTCTTCCAAATTATTCAATATAAAGACCACCATCAAACTTTCCATCCTTTTTTTTTTTAAAGATTTTATTTATTCTTGAAAGACAGAGAGACAGAAAGAGAGAGAGGCAGAGGGAGAAGCAGGCTCTATGCAGGGAGCCCGATGTGGTACTCGATCCCGGGACTCCAGGATCACACCCTGGGCCAAAGGCAGGTGCTAAACTGCTGAGCCACCTGGACTGCCCTCCACCCATTTTTAATGTACAAATGTCTTAAACTCAATTGACAGGCAGTATTTTTTTAAGTGACTATATATAGTATGTAAGAAAGAAAAAAAAATTATCTGTAATGGGGTGGCTTCAGCTTAAATAACAATATCTGTATGATTTTCTGGTAAGATAGTAGGCCATCAATAATTAGTTGTAGAGTAAGTTAAAAGCTGGAGTAAAATGGTGGTATCTTATCACTGAAAAGTTCTACATCTGTAAGTCTTGGTAAACAAGGAGACTCAATTCTGTCTCATATGATCATTTTGAAACTGCAAGATCCTTGGGAAATCTCTGGGACTAGGTTGGGGGCAAAGTCCCCCAATAAGAAACAACCCAACTTTCACCTGTTTTATGGATCAGGTTTCCTCCCAGGATTAGGTATGAACAAAGACTTTAGCAGTTGCCAAAACTGCTTTTAAAAAAAAAAATCACTGCTCTAGAATGAAATTAAAATGGACTGTTAGCAAATGTCATCCAAACACCACAGAGGACACTGAAGCAAATGCACCAAAAGCTGCCTTTGCACTTAACCCGTGTGAAGCTGAAGGGGACAGAGTGTTAAAACTGCGGTGAGCCATCTGCAAATAATGACCCACCTTAGGAAAGAATTGATAAGCATGTCAAAGACCTGTCCCACCCCCAGCCCTTAGTCCTCACCTTTCCAGAGACCCCTCAGTGGAAACAGACTGACACACTTGGGGGCCAGGAGCTCACTCTTAGCATCACCCTGAACTTCTAGGGGACCTAGTCTCTCCCCCTGTCCCCTGCTACTGTGAATAAGTCAACTCATTTTCTGGTTTATAAATCCAGCTCTTCAGTGTGACCAGCACACCACGCTCCTCTAAAGCCTTACTCTGGGTGGTCACCTCTTAGGGTCTGGTAATGGCAGCAAGGAGGTGTCGCTGAGTGCCACTGACAGGCCACATGCTCCAGACATCCCCATCCTCCTTCCCTTTGTCTTCTCTTTGGATTGTCCTTAGGAAGCAAATAGGCTGTAAAGCACTTTTTTTTTTCTTAATTTCTTTCCTCAAATTTGCCTCTATTTTTTTTTTTTTTTAAAGCCTTCATGGGGCCAGGGCTTCTAAAACTGGTCTGGACCTTTAATATGATCTACATGAATTATGTAGAACTTACCAGAAATCTTTACCACAGTCAATGCAAGACAGGCATTCACAGTTTCTGCAAACAGCCACATGCTTTTCCACTTGTACTTTCTTCACTGATTCACCACATGCATTGCATGTAAAAAATACCATTTTTACCTAAATGGGTAAGTATCTATTCTCTATCCAAGATAGGTTTGAAGTCTTGTCCTAAGAGAAAATTAAAAGAAAGGAAAAAATAATTATCATTGTAATCTGAAACTTCTATTCCCAATAAACCATCATACAGCTCACTTTTCAACCAGAATTTCACATGAAAATAGCTACAAAGAACAGAATCAAAGTTGATTAGCAATCTATATAAAACTCTACCAGCATGTAAGTAAAGTTATAATTAACAGAAATAATAGCAGACATCTGTTAAGCAGATGTTTACCTTGTGCAGAGCCTATTCTAAAAGCTTTACAGGTATTAAATTTAATCCTCACAGCAACCCTGTGAGGGGAGGTCTATTATTGTGTACAATTTGCAAGACAAATGGAAACACAGAGAGATTAAGTTACTTGCCCAAGGTCACACAGTAGCAAAACCAGGATTTAAATTTGCCAGGCTGGCTCTAGGGGAGAAGTTTTAGGAGCTTTAAGCAAAATGTCCACCTTTTCTAATAAGGTGAAGCTTGCTTTGCCCCCCCTTGCCCTTAGATGTGAACTGCCAAATTACCTCAGATCCCCAAATACAAGAACAACATAGTAAGGGGAGCGTGGGGAGTTTAGGAAGGTTTAGAAAATCAAGAGGTCTAAACGTTTCTCAAAGCACAAAAACATTCACACAGGCATGACTACATAGCCACAGGTGTTAAATATAAGGATGTGCTCTTTGGTCTTAGTGGACAAGGAGGAGGTGGGGGAGGGGCCTCCTTCATGTCGCTTCTCATCAGATCAATAAAGAAGTGGAATTATATATATCAAGGTGTCCCAGCTGCTGGGTGCTGAATTACTGGAAGGCATTCACAAACCTACATGTCCCAAGCACTGCCCCAAGATTTAGTATATGTTGCAAATACATAACTACCATTTACCGATTTCATGGAGACCCTACTGTGCTCAACAAAACAAATTCATCTGAAAGTGTTATGGAAGTCACAGTAACTTTCCATGGCTACAGAATTTTTTAATCACATCCTTAAAAATTACTGTCATTTTACATTAGAAATAAGTTTCAGAACAAAAATACTGACAACTGTTTGACCCAGCATCTTCTCCGTCCTTATAAAGGCGAAGGTAAGGGTCAAATAAACTGGTGCACTTTGATTTATACAGAAATCCTTCAGCACGTATGAGCAGTTGGGTTCACAAGAGAGTTTCCATGCACGAAATCACTCTCTCTCCTCCACTCCCATATTCTGGGTCACTGCCAGAGAGGTCACACATAAGGAAGTTTTCAGGGCTGTTCCCTTCCATTCAGCCTTGAATGGAAATGTACATCCTGGCCTCAACCCCAGGTTTACAAAGGCCCAGCCATCGCTCTTGGAAGCCCCTTGCCCTGTGGGGCACTGTCGGATGTCAGCTTGCCTGACATTCCACATACGAAAGCAGGTCCACGGCTCTGTGTTCCCCTCCGCAGCTTGCCATCAGCTTGGCAAGGGAGGGCATATGGTCAGCTACCACCTCGCTAACACCCAATCTAGAGGGAAGCAAACGTGATTCTTCTGGGATGTGAGGCAACTGTGACCATCTCTCATCTGGTTACCATAAAGGTTATCACATCTGGTGTCAACTAGTCACGAGTCCTGGGAAGTCGCTATCATGTGGACTATGACTCAGCTCCCCCAAGCTTGGCATTCTGCACAGATGGATGCTCAATCAATGGCAGGCAATGATATCATCGGCCACCCTGCCTCACAAGGAGAGAACAAAGGTCAGACAAGAACTGACGTGTTATTCAGTAGTCTGTGGGAGCACTTTTGTGTACAAACTAGAGCAAATCATTTAGTCACCAAGAAATGGATGGCCATCATAACCACAAGGTACAAGCAGCTGTGTTAAGACAATTTATCTGCTGGAAATTTTAAAAGCACTTTTGCTATGAAATCTGACCAGGAAAAATACCCCCTCAAACTTAAGCTATGGCCTAGAGCTTTTTGACTTTCATTGCAGAGGTCCGTTCTGTTTCTCGATCGAGGGGGTGAGAGGAGGGGAGGTTTCGGCAAGCTTTGAGATCCACCTGGGAGATTCAGTCTGTCATGGAAGGTCAGGGATGAAGGCCTGGGAACGACAGCTGGAAACAAAACGTATCAACTGAAAGAAGCCAGTGATGTTGACAAAAAAGCTGCTTGGAATATCTGTGCAAAACATGTTATCTCTCTGGGGAATAGCCTACATGGTGTAAACATCAATTCAGAAGAGGATTAGAATTTGGTCACATGTCCACTGGAAAAATACCCCTTCAACAATTTTCATTTGGTCTTTTGTGACAAATGTTCATATTTAGAAATCTGGTGGGTTTTTTTCTTTTTAAGCAGAATAGGTAGCTTGTGGAGTAGGTCACAACTCTGTCTCTGAGAGCCTCAGGTTCTTAGAGCCACTGATGCATTTCTACACTTGATCTGAATCAGGAACAGTGTGGCCACCTGCTTGTTAATGAGATAAGGTCTGTTAAGGAGCTTACCCCTCCCTTATTTAGAGCCCCAAAGACATCCCGGCGCTAGCCAAGAGTCACCTTGATTACACCTCTTATCTGAACACCTTTCCTGTGTGCAGTAAACACTTGTGTGTCTGTCTGTAAGGGGGGTGGAGTGCAAAGAACAGCAAGCTCCGAACCACCTAACTGCACATTGCATTGGACAAGGTGGCCCAAGTCTTAGCAGGCTTAAGACTGCAAAAGTGTAAATGTTACAAACTTACAAAAAGATGCCTTCTGAAAATTCAGTCCCTCTAATGGAAGAGGGCAAGCACTGCCTTAAAAATTTAAACTTACACAAATCTCACAAAACTAAGTAAATGTGAAAGAACCTTAAACTTTCAAATGGATGTTTTTGGTAAATGTGTAACATTTATACTTTTGGCAATTTGGAAAGCTGAAAGCCAGTTGCATTAAGACGTTACGATACCCTGTCCACAGGGCTCAGATATTACATATTTCAACTTTTAGCCCACCGTGTAAAGACATGATGGCATGCTTCATAGGGCTAAATAAAGATCCCCTTTTCCTTTCCTGGCTCAGGATAGCCACAGAGATTTTTTTTAAGATTTTATTTATTCATGAGAGATGGAGAGAGAGAGAGAGAGAGAGAGAGAGAGACGGGCAGAGACACAGGCTGAGGGAGAAGCAGGCTCCCATGCAGGGAGCCCGACACCGGACTCGATCCCAGAACTCTAGGATCACACCCTGGGCTGAAGGCGGCGCTAAACCACTGAGCCACGGGGGTTGCCCAGTCACAGAGATTCTGTGTGCTCTTCCTTCTAGAGATGGGGACCCATGAAAAGAGAAAGCAGTGTTCGTGGACTGGTCGAAAGCATACTCAAGTTCTCACTCCAGTTAAGTCACTGTGATTCATTTCGGCAGACCTCTGGTCAATGCCGAGTGTGCACTGGGATCCATATGCACCCGGGTGCCTTCCCCAAAGGAGGCCAGTCCCTGTGTGAGCTTCTGACTGTCCGTTCACCTTATGAGCTTCTCAGCACATGCTACAAGCCAAGAAAAAGATGATGAGTTACAGAACACGATCTCTAGGCTCTCCATAAAGCCACTTCATACTAACAATCAGAATTGCACCCAACACCTCTACAACAGGTATGATCACATTACCACCCCAGCATCTGTAAGAGATAGTGGAGGCTCAGAGAGGTTAAGTGATTAGGCTGGAGACATAGGGAGTGGCAGAGGTAGCCTGAGACAAGCTCCTGCCCTGCCTCCTCTCTCTTGACTTGTCATGTTTTTGGCCGATTGCTTGGCCACTACTCAGGGAGCAGAAGCTGGAGGCCCTCATCCCAAAAGAAAAATTAAAAAAAAAAAAAAAAAAAGCAAAAACAGCAAAGGCTCTACAGTGACCTTCCATTTTACAATGAGCAGGGATACCATCCTTGTCACAACTGAGGTCAGGTGTCAGAAAATGAGTCTGAGTTGAGGGGAGCAGGCAGCAATAACAAGGGGCTGGGAACTTATGAGGGACTTGGGACACCTCAGGGTTCCTCTTACCAGGATGGTGGCCCTGTTCGGTTGAATGTGGTTGACTCAGGGCCAGAGATCTGAGCTGGGGCCGGCATCTACCAATGAAAAATGACCTCAAGCTATCTTAACTTCCCAGATTCTGTTCATCTATAAAATGGGTCCAAAATCTATCTTAAGAGCTTTGTGTGGAAGATAAGAAATAGGAAAGATTCATCCTTACCCAACAGCAGGAAGTATTTCCTATGACCTATTAATTTGCCCAACAATGCCAGTACACCCGGTCCCCTCCTAATCCCATGTCTCTTTAAACATGACCCTCAATCACTCATCTGGCTTCATAAATTCACTCATGTCCTCTGGGTCCCTGCCCAATGGGGACCTACTCCACCACCCTGTTACCTGATACAAGGGCCTCATATTTAGTTCTAGAATTGGGTTCTAGAGTTCTTTTTAAACCTTCCTGCCTTTACATTTTTATATTGTTTATTTTTGCAAACACTACACTCCCTATTCTTTAAACATTCTCGCACAGGCATGTAGGCGCAGACCTAAACCTCAAACAGCCCACCTATGGGGCAGGCTGGCCACCACAGCGCAATTCCCAGTGAGCCCCACGACCTCCGACAAGTCACTGTCCCCTCGTAGCCTCGGGTCCTCCCACCTGTGAAGCGAGGTGCCAGGAGCCCCTTCCAGGGGTGGAATTCCAAGACACGAAGGGTACGGCGCAAGGGAAGGACAGAGGAGTACACACTGTCTCCCTTGTGGCCTCAGCCTGCGGGGTGACGAGGCTCCCCATGTGCACTCACCCTGTGAGGCAGGTACATCTATGTCCACCTAACAGATGGGCGCACCGAGGCGGGGCCAGTGGAGCCACGTCCCCCCGCCTCCCCGCCTCCCCAGGACTACATCGCCAGCATCCCTTTCGGTGTACCGGTATCCGTGCAAGTCTAGCGCGCGGGTCAGACGCGCCGTGCTAGGCTCTGGGGCCTGGGGGGTGCTGGGGGAGTCCCAAGGAGCCCTCCGCAGGGAGGTCAGCCGTGCAAGTACCCCCCACGCCGTTCCCCAGTCTCCCCGGAAGCAGGAGCTGCAGGCAGCCCCGTCCTGGGTGGCCAACAGGTCTGCGCGCGTGCAATCCTCGCAGCAGATCTCAGGTTCTGTGCTCGTCCCCTTCGTAGACCGACAAACGGCGGCACAGAAGGAGTAACTCGCAGAAGGTCACACACGGAGCTAGAGGCAGACGTGGAGTCGCGGGCGGCGGCCGGGGCGCCCTCCGTCGGTCCCGGCACCCCCCAGGCACCCGGCCCCAGGCCGCCCCCGTAGGGACGCAGCCCCCCAGGCCTCGGGGAGCGCGAGCTGGCCGCAGCCCAGCCCCGCGGGGACCCTGCGCGAGGACCTTCCCGCCTCCGACCAGGCTCGTCGCTGCCCGCGGGAGGGACGAAGGCCACGGGAACGGCCCGCCTCGTCCTTCCGCGGGGAAAGCCCCAGGAGGGGTCTAGCGGTGGAAACGCCGGCGCCAGCCCACCCCCCCCCAGCCCAGCCCCAGCCCCAGCCCCAGCCTCCCGGGGCGCCGCCCCTCACCTCTCCGCCGGCGCCCGCCAACGGTTTCAACCCGCCGCGAGGAGCACGTGGAGACGCAGCCGCCCGTCCCGTCCCGCGCCGCAGCCGCCTCCTCCGGGCGCCCCCCGCGCCTGCGCCGTCCCGGCGGAAGTGACGTCCCCGGAAGCCGGAGGCGGATCCGGCCGGCCGAGGGGGCGTTGTCGGGATGGTTCCGCGGCCGGCGGCGCCCGGCGAGCGGCGCTGAGGGCGGCTGGCGGAGAGGCGGCGGCGGCGCGGGGAGCGGCCTCTCCGGTAGGTGCCGTCTGGCGGGAAGGCCGGCCTCGCGAGGGCGCGGCGCAGGGAGCCGGCCTAGGCCGGGGCCGCCGCCGCCGCTCCCGCCCCGGGCAGCTCGAGGGTCGCGCGGCGGCCGGCTGCGGTCCCGGGCTCCCCCCGCTCCCCCCGCCCCGCCTCGGGCGGGCCCTCGGCCTCCGTGGGCGGCGGCCTCGGTCGGGGGCAGCGCCCGGGCCCGCGGCGGCCCAGGTCCCGTGTGAGCCGAGCGCGCGTGCCGCGGCCGCAGGGACGCCGCGCGGTCGGGGTCGGGGTCGGGGTCGGGGTCGGGGTCGGCGCCGGGCGGAGGGTGATCCCGGGGCGGCGGCGGCGGCGGCGGCGGCGGCGGCGGGCTGCGCCTGAAGGGCCCTGCGTCCGTCTGCCCGGCCCGCCGACGGCGGTTTTCCGGCGGCTGCGGAGGCGGGGGCCCGGCGGCGGCCTCCCGCGGGGTTTGCACTGGGGCATCCGCCCGCTTGGCCCCGGGGGGGGGGGGGGGGCTGGATTGAGGCCCTCACAGAAGGGATTCACCGGAACGGACCGGGAAGAAAACGTGGTTCCAACAGAAGTGCCTGACAGCATGGCCTGGAGGTTTAAAGAGCAGGATGCTTGAGGCGCCTGGTCCCCTGCGCGTGTTTTCATTTGCTCCCCCAGGAAATCCCCAGGAGGGGGCCTCTCTTGAGCCTGTCTCTGTAGCCCAAGCTTTCAGCCTTCATTCGGCTCACATGTCTCTTCCTTGAGAAGTCTTCCCTGACCTTCCTCCTCCAAGTTGATTTGGATTTCCCTCAGTTGGTATCTCCAGGACAGGGCATTCTCGTCTCCCGGAGTGCGGGGCACGAGGGTGCCAGAGCACGTGGCCCCGGGGGCCCCAGACAGAGGCTGACAAAACTCAAAGGCCGAGAGACGGGTGGTGATGAAGCAAGGAAGGGATTCGTCCCGGGGAGGCCAACGCGGGAAAGACAGATTGGCGTCCCAAACACGGTCTCCAGAGCCAAGGAAGTGCTTCCAGGCTTACATTCAGGAAAAGATGGGACAGAGGTTGGCGGATACATGCAGGTGGGCGGTGAAGGTCAGCCCGATGTTGTCCTGGGGTCAGTCACACCAGGCCCTCCTGGCTCAGGCCGGTCGTTACTGCTTGAGGGGATGGTTTGGTTTCCATCAGGGGATGCTTTGCCCGCAGGGTCTTCTGCCTGAGTTAAGAGATGAGCTGGAGAGAAGAACTTAATCAGTTAGAAAGTACAGAACCAAGTCAGAATGGAAGGAGATGAATTGTTCTTCCACTCCCATAGATGGACGCTTCTTGAAGGCATGGGCGGCCATGTGAGCGGTTCTCCCTCGGACCCTCAGTGTCTGGCGTGTAGGGACACTCTGTAAAGTTAGGTGAAGGCGGTGAAAAACTGAGGCAGTCTGTGGACTGCAGGGAACAGATCTCACTCAGTACATCTGCATTTCCTCCTCGCAACAAGGCCTCACACGGTAGGCACACGAGATCAGCTCTACCAAGTCGGCCTGCATAGCGTCGCAGCCCGTGTAGAGCTAAGACCAGAAGCAGCCTTGCTTGCTAAAGCCTTTGCTTTTGTCATGGGGTTTTAGGGGGGTGGGAGAGCGGATTAGGAATAAGCCACTTGAAAAGCATGATGGCCAAAGATGAAGGTAGGACCACTATAAGGCAGGCCAGGTGCTGAGTGTGTGAGCTGTGGCCCCTTGGACAGGTGATCCATTAATGGCCCCGGGGAATAAACTTCTACAGATTCTTGGTGTTTGACCAAGTGTTAGTAAAGGGTTCCCACAGAACAGAAGGGTCTTTGCTCTAGGAGTCCTCTCTATGGGATAAAATTTTATTCTGGTTCTTACTCCCTTTAGAAGCACCTCTTCATTCACACTTACGCTTTTTCTTAATGTTTCTCTCCCTCCCCCCTTTTTTTTTTTTTTAAGATTTTTTATTCATTTGAGACAAAGACAGGGAGCAGGGGGTAGGGTTGGAGGGAGAGGGAGAAGCAGGTTCCCCACCGAGCAGGGGGTCTGGCATGGGGCTCAATCTCAAGCAAGATCCTGGGATCATGACCTGAGCTTGGCCAACTTAACGTCTTAACCATGAGACACTTAACCACCTGAGCTACCCAGGCGCCCTGTGTTTTTCTCTCTTTTCCCATATTTTCATTCCTTTTGATACCATTCAGTCCATCTTTACACCATCACACTTTTGGTATAGATTTGTAGCATTTAAAACAGGAAGATACTGGGGCACCTGGCTGGCTCTGTTGGTTGAGCATCCAACTCTTGATTTCAGCTCAGGTCATGATCTCAGGGTCATGAGGTTGAATTCCGTGTTAGGTTTTGTGCCAAGTGTGGAGCCTGCTTAAGATTCGCACTCTACCTCTCACTCTGCCCCTCCACACCCCACTCACACATGTGCTCACTCACTCTCCCTCTCTAAAAAATAAAATATATTTTTTAAAAGACGGGAAGATGCTTGAGAGATTATTTAACCTGGTGGGGAACCCCTCCATTTTTATATGTCCAAAAACTAAGGCCCAGAGTCTCCACCCATCCAGAAACTATATTAAGCTCCTGGATTGAATAGCTCCTGGATTGAGGCTCTTGTGTCCAGGGCACTCTTCTAGGTACAGAGATACACTGATCGAGAAGACAAATGGAGTCTGTGTCTTTATCATGGGAGATTTGTGTCACTTGTCACACAGAGTAGCTGCAAAAGTGGAGGAGCTAGGTTTGTGCTCTTTGTGTCACATCATGACACCTGCATCACACACATTCATCCTCACAGATGCTGTCCTTACCTGGACAATCTGACATAGGTGGTCAACTGACAGGGCAACTGATTTGATCTAAGGAAAGCCTTTTGTCTGTCACATGTACCTAAGAGTATGGGTAAAGGGCTTAGCATAGTGGCTGGCATGTTAGAACCGTTTCGTAAATACATGCCATTTATTATTATTGTTCTTAGGTACATGATATTTATGGTTGTGATTCATAGGATACACAAGGAATATGAGATGTAAATTGTTTTTCCAGAGCTCTCTATAACCTTGTTAGGGAGGTAACAGGATTGACATCATGAAGCCATTAGAAAACTAAGTGGTACGGAAGAGTTATGATTTCTACAGTCAATGTAAATTGTGGAAGAGCTTATAACTGTGCATGTTATTTCTATATAGCTGAAAAATGTCTAAAGCAGGTTCAGAATATTTGCTGAGTTTTAGCATTTAAGTCTATAGAGGAAGGTTTCGTGCTGTATATTTAATGTCCTTTTTCTCATGGGATATAGCATAGCTTAAGAGCATGGGCTCCCCGGATACGAACCAGTCTTTAAATCCTGGCTTCAGGGGCAGCCCGGGTGGCTCAGCGGTTTAGCGCCTGCCTTCAGCCCGGGACGTGATCCTGGAGTTCCGGGATCGAGTCCCACATCACGTTCCTCACATGGAGCTTGCTTCTCCCTCTGCCTTGTCTCTGCCTCTCTCTATGTGTGTCTCTCATGAATAAATAAGATCTTTAAAAAAAAAAAGAAAGTTTAAAATTAAATAAATAAATCCTGGCTTCGGAACACAACAGTTTTATGATCTTGGACTAGTTACTTAAATTCCTCATTTCTTACTTTCCTTACTTATAAAAAGATGAGAATAGAATTCAGGTAGCATTATTTGTGTTAATGGATAGAATGTGCATAGCAGGGTTCCTGGCCCATAGTAAATAATTGGTAACGAGAATAAGCCAATAATCCTTTTCTTTTCAAGCAACTGACGGGGTAAGATAGGTAACTGGTTGCTCCATCATTTGACTGTTAGGCTCCCTTGAGGATTCAACAGGGGACGGTGCCCAACCACCTGACATAATGCTTCCCTTTCTGTATTCTTGTTTTGGGTGATAATTATCCTCTCCCACTGCTTCAGTGTTGTTCTTTATAGGGATATCACCAGTTTTCCTTGTATCTCACCCTATCTCAAACCAGGAGATCATGCCAATACTCTAAACTTTACATATCAGAAAATAAGCTTTCCATAAAGAAATAGGGGAATCAGAATAAGGTGTAGAGTTGGGGGTGAGATGGTGGGGGTGAGTTTTAGAGATTCAAAGTTGAAGGGTCATACAGTTGGAGACATTTAGCAAAAAGACACGTTTGGAAGCAGTGATCAAAGCTAAAATTTCACATTTAGGAGTTGTCTGCTTAGAATAGATGAAGGCCGAGAATAGAGGTGATTGTCTAGAGAAAGAAAGGCTCAGGGGCTGAATCTTTTTTTTTTTTTTAATTTCTTTTTATTGGAGTTTACTTTGCCAACATATAGCATAACACCCAGTGTTCATCCCATCAAGTGCCCCCCTCAGTGCCCGTCATCCAGTCACCCCAACCCCCCGCCCACCTCTCCTTCCACTACCCCTTGTTCGTTTCCCAGAGTTAGGTGTCTCTCAGGTTCTGTCACCCTCTCTGATATTTCTCAGGGGCTGAATCCTAAGGGACATTATTAACATGTGGGACTTGCAGAGGAAGAAGTACAGCGTAGAGATGAATCAGGGGCGTAGTAAGAGGACCTGGAGGGTTCTGGGGAGGCAGGATGTCAAGAAGGAGGAGGGCAGGCCATACTCTACATGCTGCAGCATAGCTGGGGAGATTGGGCTGAGTAAAGGCCACTGCGGGCAAGTCTGTTTCCGCACAAAGAGAATGGCAGCAAGACTGCAAGGGGGGAAAGGAGTCATGAGAAAGCTAAGTGGGATGTGTAGTTGCTGTTTTGGGAGGTATAAAAGAGGCCTGTGATGTATATATGTACCTAGCAGGAGGGTTTTGTTTTGCTTTTTTTCAATGTGGGACGATCTTGGTGTGTTTGTAGGAGCTGGTGAGCCGGTAGGGGACAGAGTGAAGCAGTGAAAGAGCCTGAGGATGGGACTCCTGAGTGGCTCAGCGGTTGAGCATCTGCCTTTGGCTCAGGGCAAAGTCCTGGAATCTGGGATTGAGTCCCACATCAGGCCCCTTGTATGGAGCCTGCTTCTCCCTCTGCCTGTGTCTGTCTGTCTCTCTCTCTCTCTCTCTCTCTCATAAATAAATAAATAAATAAATAAATAAATAAATAAATAAATAAATAAATAAATAAATAAAATCTTAAAAAAAAAAAAAAAGCCTGAGGATGAAGCCAAGTCCTGGGGGAGGCAAAGCTGGATGGGGTCAAGGGGACAAGAGAAGCTGACTTTGCAGAGAAGGCACATTTCATTCTGTGAAGCTGAAGGGATTGAGCAAGAAATTTGGAATTGAGTAAAGAATTTAACGGCACTCAGATTATATCAAACTATCCATGGGCTCAACCTCTTAGTGAAGTCAGGGTTGCAGTCACTTACAGATGAAGGAGACATATGTGGTGGGAAAGATATGAACAGAAAGGACTCAAACTCTATTGTAGGAATATAGAGGGAATCAAAATAAACATTATTAGCTTGCTAATTAGTAATAGAGGTTAGCTAGTGTGGATTTTAATGATCAAGTATCTATCTGCTCTATGCCAGGCAAAGATGAGTAAAATGGTACCCTCTGAGCTCATAGCTGAGTTAGAGACACAAATGATGGAACATAGCAAGTTACCTTGCGGAAGTATGTATGGGGTGCCGTAAGATCGCAGAAGAGGGACCTCAGAGTCGGACTTGAGGAGGGAACAGTGGAGAAGAAGGAGCAAGTTTCAGGATGGCAGGAAAGGCTTCTAGGAGTTAGTGACAGCTCAGCTAAGCCCTGATAGGGGAGTGGGCCTTATCTGGGTAGTGGGAAAGTCCAATGTAAATAAAGTATTCCCAGGACAGGAAGTATCAGAACCAAAGCTTTTTGGAGAGAAGCAAGGCAGAGGTCTGTAATCTGCTTCAGAATCACCTGGAGGCTTACAGTAAATGTAGATATCTACGCTCCACACTAGACTGAGCAGAACTCTGCATAGTATCCAGGAATCTGCATTTTTATCAGACTTTCCAGGTGTTCCTTAGAGATGACATTTGTTGAATAGTTAATGTCAGTTGCTCTTCTAGATGTTCACGTAGGCTCTCACAGTTGTCTCAGTAACCCTTGGGATAGGATGAGGAAAGTGGACATTGAGAAGTCATTTGCCCAAAGTCATACGTAATAAGCAGTGGCTAGGGTTCTAAACTGTCCCCAACACAGCTTGTTAGGGAGGCACAGGTAGTTTGTTTGACTGACATATAGTGGGCACACTGGGGAATAAGGTGATGGTGATGATGGTGATAATAGAAGAAGGTAGTGGTGATGATGGTGATGACGATGATGATAGAAAAAGGAGCCGTGTTAAAAAGCTTAGGTTTTGGCTTCATGGTCTAGTGACTTTTTCAGTAATCCTTATGTACTGAGGATGAAAGCAAATAAAGCAGATATTGGCTTGTCAGGTTTTTACTGTACCAAACTGCCACTTTAACCTCCATAGGCTTGTCCCAGTCTGCCTTCATTTCTCCCCACTGCATTTCTTCTAATAATCATGTCTCACTGGATTGTGCACCTGGGCATGTACCTATGCCTTCCTCATCTGTGATGTGTATTCAAGTGTCTAGCTCTAACTACTGTATTTATTTAGTTGTGTGTCGTGTATTTGTGTGTGTGTGTGTTTTTCCTTTAGTAGAATTTAACCTTCAGGAGTTTGGGGACTTGGCATGTTTTCTTTGTTGTTGTAGCCCTAGGACCTGGCACATAGTAGTCATTCAGTAATAGATGTTGAATATGTGAAACCTTCTAATATTGACCCTCTCATCCTCTCTCTCTCTCTTTCTTTTTCTTTTTTTTTTTAAAGATTTTATTTATTTATTCATGAGAACACAGAGAGAGAGAGAGAGAAAGAGAGAGAGAGAGAGAGAGAGAGAGAGGCAGGGCACAGGCAGAGGGAGAGGCAGGCTCCATGCAGGGAGCCTGACATGGGACTCGATCCCAGGTCTCCGGGGTCACGCCCTGGGCCAAAGGCAGGTGCTAAACCGCTGAGCCACCCGGGCTTCCCTCTCTCTTTCTCTCACATATGTCCTACCACTTACTTGGCTTCACCACTATTAAGCTCAGCAGGCTCTTACGCTTTCTAATATTTCTGCCCCAGGTTCCTGCGAGACAGATCTCTGCTACAGTAGTGTCCTAGCAGAGAGGTAAGAAGGAACAAATATGTTTGGGGCACCTGGATGGCTCAGTCAGTTAAGTGTCCAACTCTTGGTTTCAACTCAGATCATGATCTCAGGGTTATGAGATCAAGCCCCACATCAGTCTCTGGGCTTGGCAGGGAGCCAGCTTAAGATTCTCTTTCTCCCTTTCCCCCTCCCCCCTGCTCATGCTCTCATGCTCTCTCTCTCTAAAATAAATAAAATCTTAGGGAAAAAAGGGAACAAATGAGTAGACATGCTGCTTTGTGATACCTCTTTTATTATTATCCAGTGGTGCTAGTTTAACTTCTTCCTTATGTCCCCAGATAAGCTCCTAATTTTCCTACCTTCTGATTCAGTGCCCCATACACGGGTGCTCAATACATATTGATGTCATCCAGTTGGCTTTTTTCTAACTTACAAGTGTCTATGTATATGTTTTCATTGAACTTTCCCTAAGTAGAAATGAGAGAAGTGCACATAGCGTTATTACGGTCACATTCTACATTAGCACTCTCAAATATGGTGGGTATTTAAATAAATTGAAGGTTTAGTTCCTCAGTCACTCTAACCACATTTCAAGCCCTCAGTGGCCACATGAGGCCAATGGCAACTGGACTGAACAGTGCAGATACAGAGTATTTCCATCATTCCAGATGTTTTTGTTGAGCAGCACTGGTCTGATACCTGAGACAAAATTTTTATGGTTTTTTTTGTTGTTGATTGGTTTGAACTTGACTGACAAGGAATCATGATCATGAGCTGCCTGTCACCTAGTGGGTTCTGGGGCCATCAGGTCTCAGTTGTATCACTGAGTCACTGTCTCATTCACATTCTTTGTCCTAGGTCTCCTGGCTGGTTGAGCATGGACCCGGTTGCCACTCACAGCTGCCATCTCCTCCAGCAGCTGCAGGAGCAGCGCATTCAAGGCCTGCTCTGTGACTGCATGTTGGTCGTAAAAGGAGTGTGCTTTAAAGCACATAAGAATGTTCTAGCAGCTTTCAGTCAGTATTTTAGGTACGTATTTTAGACTCTGTACAGAGGAAAAGCTCTTCTAGCGTGGTATATTTTGACTAATTTTTTTTTCTCCTTGGATTTCACTGTCCTTATTTTTGTAGCACATATGTGAGTTTTTTACTTTTTGTATTTAGAGTAACCTGAGAGCAGAAGAGTTTTAATTAAAATATATTTGGGCTGATTGAGAGTGTTTTGGCACTCTGTCTTTGATTTTAATAGTTCTAATTAATGTCAGTCTTCTCTATATATTTTCTGTCCTTTTAGGATAAAAAGATTGAGGAGTAGAATTCCTGGTAAGAACTTTTTTGTGATAATTGGAGTGGAAACATCCCACATACTATTTTTTTATTGAAATATTTTAGTATTTGTTTTTCATTTGAGTATTCTAAGAAAATAGGTTTGGATTCAATTTACTTATTCCCATAATTATTTTTAGATTATTAGAGTTAAGTATTTTACATACATTTCCTGATTAGCTGAGATTCATCTCTCTAAGCACTAAAGATCTTTTTAATATCTCCCCCCCCTTAAAATGCATACCATTTTACTGTTCTAGTAAACAATATACAGAAGGTGATTTAATCTTTCCTTGGTAATCTGGAGTCATCAGATTAAACCTCCGCTCTCATATATGTTCCAAGTACATATTATAATGGGTGAGCTCACTGAGGTAGGCAGTACTTTTTGTCCTTAGGCAACATGGACCCAGATTGGACTTTTCCTATCCCATTTTAGTTTGTACTTCCTTTAGGTAAGAACAAAACTGAAGATTGTTTTGGGGAAGCAGGTGATCTGGTTAGACACGGTTAGATGACATGTCTTCAGTGAACTTGCATGACCAGTCACCTAAGTAAGCTTGGTAATTTACACGTAGTACAATTTCATTCACCTGGGACTTGACGTGTGCCCAGAGTAGAGTGCCTGGGCTTTAGAGGTGCCTCTCTTCCCTCCTTAACTCATAGAGCTTTACTTTTTCTCCCTGCTGGTTCGTGGACCAGTGGGTTACTGAGAAACCTCTAACAGATCTGATTACAAAATGAGTGTATATTGTGTCCTGAGAGTTTTCAGATCTGTAGAGATAGAAAGTAGAGTGGTGGTGGCAGGGGCCTGAGGAGCTGGGCAGGGGGGGACGGGAGTTAGTGTTTAGTGGGTCCAGAGTTTCTGTTTGGGAAGATGAAAGATTCTGAAAATGGTTGGACATCAGGGTTGCATAATAAATGTGCATGTACTTAATGCCACTGAATTTACAGTTGGGACTATATTTTTCAGCATGAAGTTTTTAAACACTTCAAAATGGATCAAATGTGGGGTGCCTGAGTGGCTCAATCAGTCAAATGTCTCGTCTTGATCTCAGGGTTGTGAGTTCAAGCCCCACATTGGGCTCCACTTAAAAAAAGAAAAAAAAAGATCAAGTGGTAAATGTGTATATTTTGCCACAATTTAAAAAGTAAAATAAAAAATGTATCAAACGTAGGTGTATTATAGCTATTTTTATTTTTAGACATTTTTAAGGCACTTAGATGTGGAAATATTTACATGTTTTATGGTTTATGTTACATGTTTTATGGTCTGGAATATAATATATCAGACTAGACATCAAATACTGAAAACTGTGTCTCCTTTACTATACTTTATCTGTATACAATTAATAATACATATAGATGATTATATTTTTAAAAGAACAACAAGTATTTTTCAGAACTTTACTTTGAGATCTGTTTGGAAGGTTGAATATTCAGCACACTAATTGAATTCATCTGAGTTGCTTTATTGATTGGCTTACCAAAATTTTTTAAAGGATTAAAATGTACTTAATTTTAAAATCTTGGAACTTAGAGAAGGATAGTACTTTTTAATATTAGCATGAGCATTATTTATAAGGAAGAATTGTCATACTGTAAACAGATATCCTTTCTTTTATCAGGAGCCTCTTTCAGAACTCTTCAGGCCAAAAAAGTGATGTTTTTCACTTGGATATTAAAAATGTAAGCGGCATTGGTCAGATCTTGGACTTCATGTACACATCTCATCTAGATCTTAACCAGGACAATATACAAGTAATGCTGGACATAGCACAGTGTTTGCAAGTTCAAAATGTTCTGAATCTGTGTCACACGTTTTTAAAATCAACCACTGTGGAGCAGCCACCTGGTGTGTCTTGTAATAATGCATTCTCCCTGCAGAGCGCTCTGACTGCTGATGCTAACTGTGTCATAAATGAAAACTACCCTCCTCATTTGCTGCAGCAAGAGTGTCCTGCGGATATTCCACAGAGTAAAGTTGTGGATGAACCACATACTCATACTCCATCATCCGTTAATCTCCATCACTCTGCAGGTGAAGCATCCAAACAAGCACCCGACACACTGGATGGCAACTGTGCAGAACTGCCTTTCAGACAGCCAAGTTACTACTACAAACTCAGAAACTTCTACAGTAAGCAGTACTCTAAACAGCCTGCATGTCCCAGTCACGAGAGAGTCAGCGAGCAGCCCTTCACTTTCAGCACGTCCACAGACCTCAGTGCCGGGGAAAACCAGCCCTGTGCCGGCAGTCATCCCGAATGTGTCCTGGAGTCTTCAGAGCACTTGCCTTCCCACTTCTTGGCCCAGCCGTTGAGTGAATCTGCCCCAGATCCTGAGTCGGACAACACGTGCCAACTACCAACCAGACAAATGAGGCTCAAAAAGGCCATTCACCTTAAGAAGTTGAATTTCCTTAAGTCACAGAAATGTGCAGAGCAGACACCCGAAGCCAAGACGGATGACGATTCAACAAAGAGGATAGAATGTGCTAGCACAGATACTGTAGAGAAAGCTAGCAGCCACAGTGCTGGAGAGAAAGAAGTTGAGGAACTGGTGAGTTCGGAGCAATTTAACTGCATGAACGAAATGGAGAGGCCCGAAGAGCCTGCCGCACTGGAGGAGCAGTCCCAGATGCTTCAGTCACAGAGACAGTACACGTGCGAATTGTGTGGAAAACCATTTAAACACCCCAGCAATCTGGAGCTTCACAAACGGTCTCATACAGGTACACTGATTCAGTGCCCACAGGCAAAAGGGAAGGACCTGATGCAGATGATCAGACACTACTGCCTGCTCCTGCTTTTGTAAGAAGTTTTGCTGTTGCTTGATGACGTCATTGATAATCCCCCCCCCAAATCAAAGGAGCATTAGCTTCTTTTTTATATTATACTTTGGGTGATTACTTTTAAAGAATAATCTCAAAGTTCTCAAAGTTCTGTAGACGCTTTTATAGAGCCAGCTTAAAAAGATGGTACATTTTTCTTTATGGTTTTATATGATAAACTTTCCATCACTCTAAAAGCATAATTTAAATCATTCCGATGCCCTGAAATGTACTCTAAAATGGATAAGCTATATTGCTTTTTAGAATTAGAGTAAGTTTATTTTTTAAAGCATGATGCTGTAGGTTCATTCAGATGTAAGTAATTTAGAATAATAGTAAAAGTGCCCTGCAAAGTGATTTTCATATCAGATTTTTTTTTAATTGTGGTTTGGTAGGAAGAGGTAAACTTTTTATAAGAATCGACTTTAACCATGTGATATTTTCAAATGAAAATGCTTCCACTTTGAACATTGAATTTTCAAAGTCTTATTACCTTAATTCATACTTCGTCCTCTTTCCAAGAAGTTTATTTTTTCCAGGTGCTCTTTTGAAGGTGTTACATAGTACATATACGTTGTGTTTCACAATACTTACATGTTACTTTTGTTCCTGTAGTTAAACTTGATGACTCTAATACAGGTTCTAAATTAATGACAATTTATAGCATGAGAAGTAATACGCTAAAGGGTGGTTATAGTGTGACCACTTTAAAGTGCTTATGTAATTGTGGTTACTGATCTGACATTCTCTTATCACTTTGGATTTCCCATTTGCTTCAGTGTTTGCTACCTTGTACTACTGAAAGACTTACTGTAGATGGAAGCCTTCAGAAGTGTTCATGTATTTGAACATAAAGTGCTGTCAGAAGTAGTAGTAGTTTAGAATTACTTTCTATGAGGACACTATCAGTGACTCAGTTTTACCCTTGGAGAAACTTGATTTAGGTCATTTCTATTTGCATGAATTTCCTAGAGCCTCATGATCATTAGAATTTTTACTTGACAAACATAACCAGTTAGCCTTAAGGAAAACAAAACTTACCTTGTTTCTTCTGAAAGAACATCTTTGGATGCCAGTGGTCATACAGTCATGGCACAGATGTTTGCCAGGACTTAAACCAAGAGGAGCTGCACTTCTCAGATTATGGTCTGGAGAACCCTTTTAGGGGGTCTGTGAGGCGAAAACTGGTTCTGTCATACTCTGATGTCACTTGCCTTCTTTTCCTTCTCCCACGAGTGTGTGGTGGAGTCAGCTAATGGCTGCAGCTACTCTGTTGGCCAGTGAAATGTCTGGCCACAGGCTTTAAAAACCACTGTTTTCATTTTTGATATAGGCTTTACCAATAGGTATAGCCCATGCAAACAAGAGCTCTTTAGGGTCCTCACTTAGTAAGAGTGTGAAGGGGTCCTGGAGAGTAGGGTTACTAAGTTTGGTCACTAGTGAATGGTGGCCTCTATTTTTCAAACTGTTGTAACTTACACTGGGGTCTTTCACTTAACATTATCTGTCATCCCCGTAATTTCAGACCTAAGTGTAGTCACCGAATACAAGATTTATGTGATTCTAATTACTCAGGGTCAAAACCTCTGTCTTGGCCATGAGCAAGCCATTGAACCATTTTAGGAAAAGATCAATACAAATATATCCTGGCAAGAGCTCAGAAAGCTGGCAAACCAGCAAACCCTGGCAACACAGTAAGAAGGGAAATGCTAATTTTTTAAAAGAATCTTAATGAAACCACTTGATTTGAGGGGAAGGGGAGGAAAGGAAGGTTCTCAGTCCTCAAGGCCTACTAGGGTTTCACAGGTGAAAGTGATACCTTCAAGTACATTGTCTGTCTGTCAGTGTGTTCAGAGATGCTGTTTCTTTGTAGCAGAGTCCACTCTCTGCATCTGTTCCATACCAGAATGCAATTACTCAGAGTTAAATCAGAGGTGAGAAGTGGGCAGGGAAGCCCATCTCCTGGGCTGAAATCCTGTTCCTCCCATCAGGGTGTGTCAACCAAGGCTGAAAGGCAGTGGAGAGGGTCTCTTTCCTGGCACGTTTGCAGGAGGACCACTCTGTTTTGGGCTCCACTGTGTGTCCGCCTCGTTTGGTGAGAACGAGTCACCCTCTTGTGCCAGGAATTGGTGATAAAGGGGTCAGGCTAAAGGGCAGGTGAACAAGATGCTGCTGTTGACCAGATCATCTCTGCTTGCCACTTAAGGGCGCCAGAGAGAATTACAAGGGTGTAGAGACTGCTCATTTCTAGACTTTGATGAAGAGGTGATGCTCCCTTTTGAAAGGACACAGGAGATAGTTTAAACATTTTAAACAAAATTATTGTGCAAATATGACTGCTGATTTTACAAGTTGTTATTTTGTTTTGTTTTGTTTTAGGTGAGAAACCTTTTGAATGTAACATTTGTGGGAAACATTTCTCTCAGGTGGGAATACTCTTATTTACTGTTAATAATTGGAAACCTGAAACCTAGTGTTTTTTTATTATTATTACAAATAAGACATTCGTTGGACTTTTGAGAGAAGCCTCTGATGATATCTGTAACTTTGACTTCATACTGAATCAGGAGAAAATAATTTTCAAGAAAAACAAATTTTTAGTTTATTGGGGGTAAAGTAGTATTTTTTCTAAGCGTATGAACTCTCACCCCCTCCCTTTAAGAATAGGTCCAGTCCTAGTATATTCCTTCTCTTTCATGAGTAAATGAGTGAAGTTTTTGGTAAACCACAGTGAGCCCACACCTGGAGGCTGCCTGCCATGCTGGGCCAGATCCAGAACACATGTCATCTTAGTCTTATTGGGACTAAAGTTGTTAGATGTGGAGAACAGAGCAAGCAGTTCTCGTTCCTGCTCCAAACGCCTTTTAGCTGACCTCTGATTATAGCTCATTTAGGCATATATTAATTCTCTCAGGCAGCCAGCATTTGCTGTACCCTCCTATGGGCCATGTGCTGACCTGGGCACTGGACATAAAGAAACCTAGAGTTTTATTTTTGTTTTGTTTTGTTTTTTTGAAACCCAGAGTTTTATTAATGTTTTAGTGCAAATGTTGACTGTAGACCAGTGGAGAACCTATTTCTGAAGTAGGAGGAGGTAACTTGCTCTGCCACAGGCCAGGCCCTGGCATTCCAGAGCTGCCCAAGAGCAGCCACTGCACTGCTCTTTTTTTACCTGGCTGTGGTGGGTGCAGTGAATCCTATAGTAGCAGCTTGTACGGGTGCTGCTCCCCAGAACGAGGACTCCAGGCTGGGCCTTGATCGAAGAGTAGAGCCTCTAGGTCGAGAAGAGGTAGGCAGCAAGTCCTCTCCAGTGCACAGAAACTCAACAGCAGCACCATGTTTTGACGCATTCCACATGGAGCCAGCTCTCCCCTTCCTCCTGCGCATCCAAACTTCTGCACTCAGTGACTTTTACGCCTGCGACTCCCTGCAATGCTGAGATTCCCCAAGTCCTAACCTCTGCCTTTTGCATCTTTAGTCCATACTTGCCATCCACGAAAACACCTGGCACCCTCTAAATGTTCAGTAAGTTTTTGCAGAACCAAGGGGAGTCATCAGCCCTCCAGCTGCCATGCACTTGAGGCCTTGCTTCTTCATTGCAGGCTCGCCTGCAGCTTCCAAGCTGGGCTTGTGGAGCCGGGCAGTCTGCATTTCGATCCTGCCCCAGGCTTACTCCTCAGTGACCTCAGGCAAGCAGCCTCACCTTTTGGCACTTTAGCTTCCTTGTCTGTAAAGCAAAGGAGATTAGATGGGTGAACATGGCAGGTGTGTGGAGAGTACATGAATCAGTAGGAGTAAGAACTCCTGCCTGGCACATAGTTAGTGCTCAGGGACATCACCATTTTTCCATCCTGGTGCTGGCCCTTCTGTTCTTGCAGACCAGTCTTCCACCACCATCTTAACCTTATAGCTTTGGAGTGGGGGAAAACCAAAGGCCTGGGCTAATGACAACCATAACTTCTCTGGGCTTCATTTTTCTAATTCTTAAAAATAGGGATCATACTACCTCATGTGAGCGTTAGGAGTGAGTGGAACGATGGCCACAAAAGCCCTTCATCCATTTAAAATGTGGTAACAGTGTAGGTTCTGTCCTCCTTGCTTGAAATCCTTCTGTGACCCTTCATTGCTAATCACAGAAAACCAGACATCGAAGCATGTGTACTCCACTTTCAGCCTCCTCTCCCAGCACCGATGCCGGGGCCTGCCCACAGAGATTCTGATTCCATTGCATTGAAATGGGGCTCCAGCGCTGGCATATTATTGTATTACAGTGATTTTGAAGTGTGGCTAGGGTTGAGGACCACTGCTCAGACTTTGTCCTACACTTGCCCTCTTGAATTCTGTCAAGGGTAGCCCTGGCTGACAGGCACTAGAGAAATCTGCCTCTGTGTTGGTGTCTGTATTTTTGTCAGATTTTTGTGAATGTAGGATTATGTATAGTTGCAGTTTTCAGATGCATATTGCTGTTTTATTTCATTGCGGAATTGTGAATTTTTTTGTGAACAAGGACTTCTTTGAAAAAAAACTTCCTTCAGCAAGTGTTTGCTGCAAGCCTCCAGTGTCCAAGGACTTCTGCCACATGTCGGGGAAATCTACCTAGGGAACAGTGTGGGCAAAGAAAAGAGAGTGGTCATTCCTGCCTGGAAGAAGTGGTGTTTGGGGTGGGTGAGGACCTGAAATGTGTTAAGAGATTGTTTAGGTAAGCCCCGAAGACAAGCAGGCATTTGATAATCCTGGGGTTCTCTGGTGTTCTAGGACAAGAGAGCTGTCAGGTTGTTTATGTAGGGGTACTTGGTAAGTAGCACCTACTAACTATCCTTCACCTTAAGCCAAGCATACATTTCTTAGAATGAACTGGAGTAAATGTGGTAACACTGGATTGGAATGCTCTCATGCTGTTGCTGGCGTGTTTGCTTTGGTAGAAGTGAGTTTGTAAATATTTTCCCTTCTGGAAGACTGGCAAGCAAGAAAACAGATTTATCAATGAGAATTCCTCTTTTATCCTGGTTACTCAGTTTATATTTAGTAGAATCCATCTTGGGGAAAAATAAAAGTTAACCACAACTTTGATGATAAGTCTGTAAGCAGTGCGATACATGAGCTTTGAGAGCTACCGTAATCCGAGATTGCGACAACAGACTGTCCATCTCTTAACATCATTCTGGACACGGTCTGTGTGCAGATCTCAGCCCTCAGGAGCCCTGCACACTTGAGAGTGTGAGTGAGACTCTGTCCATAGTGCCAGGGTTCCGGTCCCCAAGTGCGGTAGAACCTGGGTCAGTGGGTGCACCCAGAGGAGAGGTAAGGTAGGGGCTGGTCTGCATACCTGTGATGTGAGAAATGGGAGGAGGAAACTGGGTGTACTGAGCTGGCTTTGAAAGAGGAGTAGAGCTGTTTGGTCTCTTCAAAGGAGCAGACATGGAAACTTGGAGCAGACGATGCAGTGCCTTTTGGCAGTGCTGTCCAGAGAGGGGTGCCCCAGGGCCAGGGCGCAGGGTAGGGGACCTGGAGACGGATGTGCTCCCCCAGGCACTGACATGGCCTGGTGCTATGGGTGACAGGATGAAACCCCACCCACGGGGAATGTGCAGGAAGAAGAGTATTTCAGTGAGCTTCTCCTGAGTCATGAAACTTCTGGCCCTAAGGTAGAGTCCCTACACTCCCAGCATTGAAGGCCCTGCTGGCAGTATAGTGCTCACTGCTGTTTAGGTGACAGCTTTATGTTCATCTCCAGATTTTTTTCCCCTGTTAATTTTATTATTTTGTGAAGTCCTAAAGTCCCAAAACTCCTAAACTAGAAGACTTAAGATCTGAGGTCCCTTTTATATCTAAAGTGGTATGATTCTTTGGCTATTTTTTCTATAATAATCAGCTGCCTTCAGAAGAATGCTCTGATAGGGAATATATGCTTGGTTTGTCCATATTTAAATGTTCACATATATAGTAGAAGGAATTATTTTTTAAGTTACTCAACAAATCAGATGTTCTTTTCTAAAGCAGTTTTTCTGTGCAAAATCCTGACAGCTCCTCCTAATTTAAAATATTTGCTTAGAAAGAGCAGAGCCTCCTTCACTGCTAATACACTGTAACATAGCTAGACAGCACAGCGACACTCCCAGCCTTAGAGTCCACAGAGGGGCCTGGGTGGGAATATTTGATCCCAGCTATAGGAGCCTAGGCTGATTACTTCCTAGTAATCAGCATCTGTTTACAGACTATCTGTTTACTTTTCTGTAAAATGAGATACTATGACTTTGTAAGGGAATTGTGCTGACGAGGGGACACAGTGTCTGCAGCTGCCTGGTAACCGATCTCCTACTAATCGATAGTTACCACTTGTTAGAGCTGTCACATATCCAGCTACAAATAATCTCTAAGATGCGGACTCGGTACTTAGCCCATAATTGGTACTAGAGTAATTCAAAGTTTACCAAAAATACAGATACTTGACTAAAGATCAAATCATCTGCCTTCCGGTTTGCAATGCAATTTGGCATAAATCATTATCAGCATCATTGGACTTTTTTGCCTGAGTCTTTCAGTATCTAATCTACTTTTACACCATTGGTCAGATCAATATGTCCTCCTTTATCTGGCAGGAGATTTTCTTTATACATTTCTGATATTAAATAGCTAAAAAAACATTTTTAAGGGTTTGTTTTACTGTTGCTTATTACACTCTTTTAAGTGGAAGACCCTTGATACTTGCTTTGGAAACAAGTAATTGTTACACTTGACTTAATCAGAAAAGATGCAGCCCTGCTAAGAATTGACTCAGAATACATTTCAGTCATGACACATCGTTTACAAAATAACTTGAAACAAGAAGGACCTAATTTAACAGATGAGCAGATGGTGCTATTCAAATTGTTACATAATTGATGAGCTTTTTCTGGAATTTGGAATTGACTGACTTAAAACAGTCAGTGGTGCATTAGCTTACCTCCCGTGAGCTGTTTCCCCCACGGCTAAGTGACTACTGAATCGTCAACACAAGCTAGTTTATTCACAGAAACTTATGAGAGTGTAGACTCACACGAACTAGTGTTCATTTCTGGGCCAATCGTGTAACAGGAGCAGCTCTTTCGTTTATCTGAATCTGAGTCTTCCAGCTGGAAAAGAGAGATGGCTCTAGCAGTGACTAAGTGGTTTGGTGATGCGTGTAAGGGCTAGCAGGCCAAATGCAGGCTGCTGTTGACATTTGTTGTTTTATTATTGTTAGTAGTCATTCTCCTAAAAGCTGGGGATTTCCCACTGTTTTGCCAAATCTTTCCCTTTAGTTATCTGAAATAAGCCTAGGTTTTTTCCTGAGCCACATTTATCACATTCTGAAAGATAGTACATAACTCAGTGATTTCCCAGAGCCTGACACAGAGAATCTCTGTGTTCTGTGATATAAAACTCACAGGTCGCCCTTTCTCTGCTTCTAAGTTTCCACGCAGAAGTGGACCTCAGACCATCCCCAAACTCACGGCCATGAACTATCTGTGTATTTTATTTAAAGTCCAGTTTGCATATTTACAAAGCCAGATTTGTTAGTTGGGTGTTACTGTTCGTTCTCCCTTTTTGGCTTATATTGTGCATAATGCCTGTGCATTATTACCCTTGGGTATATTCATTCATTTCAGTGTTTTTGTAATAGAACACTGTAAAAAAATTAGGTAGGGGATGTGGCAGATTGAGTCTATTAAGTTAAATTCCAGCAATGGAGGATTTTGTTTTCAAATCCTAATTTGAAACATTAGCCAGGAGCTTTTTTAATACGAGGCAATTGCAGTTTTAATTTCAGTGTACTTTAGGCAATTTCCTATTGACTTCCTGTTGATTATTACATCAAATCTATTTTGTGATCTGCATTTAAATAAGTTATTCTTTGTGAGGCCCTGCTAGTTTCAGAAATTAGGAACATAAGAGGCCCTGCAGTGAACCTGCTGCTATGAAGTTCCTGATGTGCATTTTTTGCACAAAGGTAAAAAAAAACGACAGCCCTGTCAGGGAGAACAGCAGCACTGCCAGAGGAAGTCCTGTTTGCACATGTCATACCTATTTATGAACAAAAGAATGTTTTTAAAAAAGAAGAAATCCTAAAATAATGAAGTATAGGTACTACTTTTTTCCCCCCTAAAGGGACACTTGGATATACATGGTCCAAGTTAAAAACTCCAAATAGGGATCCCTGAGTGGCGCAGCGGTTTCGCGCCTGCCTTTGGCCCAGGGCGCGATCCTGGAGACCCGGGATCGAATCCCACGTTGGGCTCCCGGTGCATGGAGCCTGCTTCTCCCTCTGCCTGTGTCTCTGCCTCTCTCTCTCTCTGTGTGACTATCATAAATAAATTCAAAAAAAATTTAAAAAAAAAAGAAAAAAAAACTCCAAAAAAGCATCATAAGGTCAAGGTCTATTTAAAATACAAGCTAAGCTTAGCAGTCCCCAAAGCAGCCTCCACGGTGTGCAGGGCCCATTTAAGAGAGAAGCAGCACAGTGCATGCCTGAAATGGGACAAGCCAGGGGCGCACGTGGAGCAGGTGCTTTTGCTCAGAGCACAGGATGGAGATGCATCTGTGTTCAGCAGATTGCTGGGGCGGAGCTACTCCTGGAGTTAGAATTGGGCTGGTCCCAGATCTCCTTGCACATGGTTGCTTTTGAGTTGTGCATATGTAATCTTCACTTGGAAAGTTGGACCGGGACCTGCCTCAGCCTGTCAGTTTTCCTTTTGAATTATATGACCTTTAAGAACACTTTTCATTATCGGTATGCTTTTTCTCCCCTGCTTTCTTGCAGGCAGGTAACTTGCAGACTCACCTACGTCGGCATTCTGGTGAAAAACCATATATCTGCGAAATCTGTGGAAAGAGGTCAGTGCTGGGCATATGCTTCCATTTGTAAGGAACAACTCGTGGTCTCTCTTTGAACTCCGTGTTCTCTGAGCCACTAGGGCTCACTCTGTCGCTGAGGAACACATGTAAATCGTCCGGCTTTCCATGGGATACGTGATGAGAAGAACAAAAAGAAAGAAAAATGTTAATTAAAAGAAAGAAAATCTAGGACAGGAGTCTTACAAAATGGGATTTTATATGGAACAAAATTATTTTATACTAAAATTTCCATTCATTCCAAGAATGTTAGCATAAACGTCCCCATGGAGGTGACTATCTTATGGGGGAAAAGAGACTTGCAGCTGAAAGCTTGGGTGTCAGGAGAGAGGACCAGAGGAGGTAGCCTGAGCTGAATTTGGGAAGGGCCTTGAGAGCTCAGCATCGGAGGAGGGGCCTAAGTGGGGGCAGGGCAGGGTCCAGAGGGACCCTCCTCCCCTCACTGGGTCATTTGTTGGGAGTGCACATGCTCTCGAGTGGTTGCATTCAGGCAGCAGCCACCAGTCATTGACATGACAGCGATTCAGTCATTCATTTATATAACCTTTCAACATTTATTTGGTACCTACTGTGTGCTGAGTGCTATGAGGGGAACATAGAAATAAACAGTACAAGCTCTGCCTCAGATAAGGTCATCCTCAAGGTGGTGGGCAGACATGGGACAACTAAAGTCAGAGTCCTCTGATGCAGCATGTGCCTGGGAATGCCAGCAGGAAAAGCAGCACTGGTTCAGGTCTGGGAAAACCACTGTCCCTGCAGGTAGCAGAAAACAAAGAAATATGAGCTGCCCAATCCTGACGTGTCTCCCTTTTCTGCTGTGGCCACCTGAATACTGATGACCCCGTTCAGTGCTGGGGTATTGCATACTGCTCACTTCCAGTACCTCTGTAAGTGTGCACCCCTGGCTGTTTCAGGTGGTTGTGTTGCTTCACTGTTGGCCTTGTTTTACACGTCTTAAATGGAAGCCTTCTGAACTCCATTTAAAAGTAAGGCATGTATTTAAAATCAGGTCTATAGGCAACATCTCCCCAGTGTAACCAGCTAGACAATCAGGTATGGTGGAAAGGAAGCAGAGATTTATGTCGGAGAGCCTGGCTTGGAATTGTTCCCTGAGCCAAGTAGTCAACCATCTCTGCAGAAAGATGAAACTAGGTAGAAAAAATAGTAATAACGCCAAAACAGAATGCACATTTCAAATGAATCAGGCCACTTCTGATTACATTCTGAAGGAACAAAGGTAGCGGTTCACCTCCTCCCTCAGTGACTTGCAATTACAAAGATTTGCAGCAATGTAGAAAGAAGTTCTTGATTGGATTTTCATATTACCTTTCAGGTTTGCAGCTTCTGGTGATGTCCAGCGTCACATCATCATCCACTCGGGGGAGAAGCCACACTTGTGTGACATCTGCGGCCGAGGTACTGCTGCGGGTTTTTCCCTTTCTGTCCTGAAGACTACCGATTGCAATGTTCTCGGTCCTTCCGCTGAACACCTGTTATGGTCTCTCCAGGGTTCAGTAACTTCAGTAATTTGAAGGAGCACAAAAAGACACACACAGCCGATAAAGTCTTCACCTGTGACGAATGCGGCAAGTCCTTCAACATGCAGAGGAAGCTGGTCAAGCACCGAATTCGGCACACGGGGGAGCGGCCCTACAGCTGTTCTGCCTGTGGTAAGTGTCTGGAGGGCATGGACCAGACGGTCACCCGGCTATCCCCGCTGGGGGCAGACCCCAGTCTCTCCCCGCTCTGTGGTTGGCTGTTTTGGTGTCATGCGTAAATCATCCCTGTTATAGATAAAATGAAGGTGGCGCTGTTTACTGCCTAACGTGGTCTCTAGTTCGTTCCTGTGTTCACATATCAGACATTTACTCTGTGAGTTGCCTCACAGAGTGTCTGTGAGGTGTCCAGAGCGCTGGGGACAGCCTACTGAGGCTACTGAGAGTCCCAGGTGTGTGCTCCTGGTCCAGGTCGGTGGGGTGTAGACAGTTGGGAAAGTGTGGGAGAGCGCAGTGTGCAGCAGTGGGCGTTAGCATCACGCAGACCAAAGGGCCGGGTGTGGGGGCTGCAGGTTGACTGTCCTGCGGGAACATTGAGAACATGTGATGGGGTCAAGAGGGAGGGCTTCTTAAGATGCTGTGTTCAGAAGCAAAGGTCCCTTCTCCGGGCATTTGATGCAGCGGTGAAGTCTTGGGAGGCGGGGGAAAGCTGGCGACCTCGCTGTCGAGGGATGTTATTGCTCACGTTAGGAAATGGGGACTCTGAGTCAAGTCACCTGTGACCTATGATCAACAGTGTTTGAGCCTCTGAAGAACTGTGTGTGTGCGTGTGCGTGTGTGTGTGTGTGTGTGTGTGTGCACGCGTGCCTGGGACAGGTGGTTGGCAATGTGAATTGAGTCACTGAGGAACAAGTGAGTGACTGTGTTTGTGGTTTCCCAGTTAGAACAAAAGGGGAAACTGTTCAGGCTCCACAGTGGGAAGGCTGGAGCCGAGCACTACTCAGAGCGGCTCTTTCTAAACAGGGCAGGACTTCTAGGATGTAACCACAGGTCTTTGTTTTTATCTCCCACTTAAATGGTGTACAGATTTCCTGGCAACTCCATGACTATTCTCATTACTCCTTATCAAAGTAAAATTTTGTTGGGGCACCCGGGTGGCCCACTCAGTTGAGCATCTGACTTTGATTTCAGCTCAGGTCATGATACCTGAGATCAAGGTCATGAGATCGAGCCTTGTGTTGGGCTCTGCGCTCAGCATGGAATATGTTTCCCCTCCCCCGCTCACACTCTCTCTAAAATAAAATAAGATAAAATAAAATAAAAGTAGGATTACTTTAAATCACAAATGCAGTCTCAAGTCACTAAAATGTCAGTTCCAAATTATATTACAGTTGCCAACTTGATTTAAGGTTGAATTTTCTCTTCCCTCCTCCGCTAGAACTTGTTGCTGGCCTAGGACCCAGGCAGAGGAGGAAGTAGAGGCCCTGCTGCCACACCTTATGCTTCTAGCCCATTCCCCTCCCTCACTAACCATGGTTTCTGACCCTGACAAGGTCATCCTGGAACCAGGGGAAGAAAAAAAGAGCAAGAGTGTTCGTTCTTATAGGACAGGTTCAAAATTTTGTAACAGCTTCATTGAGGTAAAATTCCCATACCATAAAATTTACTCATTTAAAGTGAACAATTCAATAGTTTTGGTATGTTATTCACGGAGTCATAGAACCTTCACCATGGTCTATTTTAGAACATTTTCATCGCCCCAAAAAGAAGCTCCTTGCATGTTAACAGTCACTCCCTGCTCCTACGCCCCAGCCTAGGCTACCATTATTCTGCCTTCTCTCTCGGGATTTGCTTGTTCTGGACATTTCACATAAATGGAATCCTACAGCATGTGGGCTTTTGTAACTGACTTCTTTCACTTAGAAAATCTGCTGTGAACACGTGTATGTAGTTTGGGCGTGTTTTCATTTTCTTGAGTTCAAAAGATGGGCTCAGTTTTAAGGTGGCTTCACATTCTGGGCTTTTTCAGGGAATAGAGCTCCCCTTCCTCTGTTTCCCTCCCCTCCTCACACACAGCCCCCCTCGCCCCCCCGCAATGTCATTCTTGTTCCAAAGATTTCCTCTCCTACCTTCCCCTCTTCCTTTCCCCGCATTTCTCTGCACTTTCTCAGGTGCAAATGTTTATTTTCCTCAGCCCTGGGTCCTAGCTCCTTATTCCCAGGAGACTTTCTTTGTTGGGGTCTCCCTGCCCCTCTGTGCAGACCTCTCAGGCTGGATTGAAGATGAATCCTGGCAGCTCACTTGCAAGCATGACCTTTGTCCAGTCTGTGAAAACACTACAGGGACTGCAGGCCACGGCCATGCAGAGGGACACCATCCTGTATGCACTAGTGCGGTGGATTTCCTATGCAGGAGGCAGGTGCCACACCTTACCTTGCCATGAGGACGGTTGTGAAGTCTGGCACCCCCTATCTTGACTGTCTCCTGGGGGGACCTCCACTGTGGCTAAAATTCATATGCTTTAAGGACCCCAGAAAAGATGATTCCCATTTGCCCAGTAATTTCCACTACTGAGAATTTTTCTGAAGGAAACAGTGAAAAGAAAAATATTAATTGAACGTGAAGTAAAGTAGCAATCAGGTGGAAGGCACCCAAACGTGCAGTAAATCGAGGAATGGTTATGAAATAGCTCCTATCCATATAAACCATATGTTGTATAGACAGTGCAGCAGACGGTGAAAATGCTTTTACTGTGACGTTACATGAAGGAGACTGAGCCTGACTTGCAGACAAAATGAAGACATGAAGAAGACTCACCACAGTGTGCCTCAGTGTTCTGTGGGGGGAAGAAGTGCCAAAATGTAACTTGTAGAAGTTGACACCTAGTTTGTTCAAAGGTGTGTTTTTTTTTAATGGCCCACCGCTGGCTGATGAGGGCAGGATGGCCTAGTGTTCACACGCATAAGGGAGAAGTTGTAAGTACGTGTCCTCGTACCTGCGTGACGTATTATCTTCTGTGAATACGTGATGTCTTCCGTAAGGTTCTTTATTGGTTGTTTTATTCTGACCTTCTTACCTACTTTAATCATGGAAGTAGATCCCCTACCTGTGTCGTATACACAGAAAGGAAATCGAACTGAGAGAAGTGTAGGTAAAATTACATTATGAGCGAAAAGATGTTTCTGAATTCTAGATTGGCCATGTTAGGTTTACAAAAACTTAAGCAAGCCTGGCCAGTAGAGGCAGGCACCTTGGCTTCCCAGAGAGGCGCTCCTGTGCAGGGAGACAGGGTCTCTCGAAGGCTCGCCCTGAGGTACCCACAGCCAGGTCAGAGAGACGCAGAGGAGTCTTCCAGAGTGAGCAGGTGACGGCAGGAGGAAGAGGGATGTCCTTCCAGAATGTCCTCTTCTAAAAGGATCCCATTTTGGGCAGCCTCAGTGGCTCAGTGGTCTAGCACCGCCTTCAGCTTGGGGTGTGATCCTGGAGATCCAGGATCGAGTCCCACATTGGGCTCCCTGCACGGAGCCTGCTTCTCCCTCTGCCTGTGTCTCTGCCTCTCTCTCTGTCATGAATAAATAAATAAAAATAAAATAAATTTAAAAAAAAATAAAAGGATCCCATTTTCATTTTGCAGGAAAATGTTTTGGGGGATCTGGCGACCTGCGCAGGCACGTGCGCACTCATACCGGGGAGAAGCCGTACACGTGTGAGATCTGCAGCAAGTGCTTCACGCGCTCAGCAGTGCTCCGGCGCCATGAGAAGATGCACTGCAGGGCGAGCGCAGGCCGGGACGCGCTGCATGAGCTCACTCAGGCCCTTGAGACCCCCGACCTGGAGAAATCTCAAGGCTCAGATCCTTTTGCCCAAGATGTGTCCGTGACCTTGATGCCCGTGTCAGTCAAGCTCCCCGTTCACCCCGTGGAAGACTCAGTGACAGAGTTTGACGGCCATGCCACCAGTTCCTACTGCAAGTTCCGGCCGATGGTTCAGCCTCACGCAGGCAGTGAGCCAGAGAAGCTCAGTCTGGATCCTGGCAGGCGTGCCAAGCCCCCGCCGCAGCCAGCACAACATCAGGCATATGCTTACCCCGACGTGGCCACTGCGGCCGGCGACCAGCCACTGCAGGCCGACAGCCTATCCCTGGGCCGCTCGTCTCTGGCCGCCCTGGACAATCACTGTGGTGATGCGCCAGGCAGCCGCGGGCCTGCCACGCCGTACAGGAACTCCGAAGGGCAGTTCTTCTCTAGCATGACCCTCTGGGGGCTGGCCATGAAGACGCTGCAGAATGAAAACGAGTTGGACCAGTGATGTCTGGCGGTGGCATTCTCTGAGCCCAGTGGACTAGTATCCGCGCTTTGGGGGAGAGCATTTTTTCCATGGCAACCCTTTCTGACCAGCCCAAGAGGAGTTGGACCATCACTGTGCAGGTGGTAACAGAACTGGAAGCAAGCAGAGCCCCAGGATTTGGGACGGAGGCTTGGCAGCAACTCGTGCAGGAGGGGAGGAGTGGACAGCCCGAGAAACCATCCCACTGACCTTGGCTGGCACGACAGTGCACGCATTAGGTCAACTGCTGTCCATTTCAGGCACGCTAAAGGGAAAAAAACATATCTAGTAATATAAATATTTTTGCATTTTTTACATTGAAATTTGTACGGTTTGTATTTTTATTTACACAAAAATTTTATTTGTATATGAAACTCATGCTATAATTTAATTTGAATAAATGAAATTGACTTTCTATATAATGTGTTTCCTCCAGCATTTTTATTAATTTAAAGATCATAGTGGTATAAAAATAAGTATCAATAAGGGCTAGTCCTACAGGGATGAGTCCTAGTTCAGTTCAGCCACGAGAACAGGACGTCAGTCCTGGCTGCCACTTATGGTTAGGTCACAGGCAAGCTCCTCAGCCTCTCAGAATCTTCTCTGGGTTTTCTTTTCTACAGTCTGAGGTAAAAGCCTTGCAGCACCCATACAGGGCCCAGTGACCTTGTCATCCCCGGTTGCTTGGCAGGGCTTCCTGAACATGTATTTCCTCCTTGCCTTCCCAGCAGACCTGCCGGCCTCTGTAACACGAGGTGTGTCCACGGGGCTGTCCCTAGACTATCAGTGAGCTCAAGCACGTGGAAATGCAGGTCCCCATGTGGCACAACGCAAGTCCTTACCCTTGAAACTGCACAAAGGACCCTGTCCAGATGCCGTCACTGCCCGCTGTAACTCCAAAATACAGTACCAGCGGTGAGAGAAGCGGACGGGTGATGGTGCTCGGGAAGGCAGTGTGGTTGCAGACTCAAATGTGCACTTTGAAGTCAGACTCAGGTTCGCCTCCAGGTTTTCCCCACCAGGACCGGCCCTCTGGTCCTGCAGCTCTGGAGCAGCGAGCATATAGTAATCCCCGTCTTACAGATGGGAGAACCCGAGGTTCGCATGGGCACAGCCCCGTGGTCCAGCTGAGAACCGGCTCGCAGGTGTGCCTGGGCGTCAGCCTGAGCCACGGTGGTCACACACAAGCGAGGTTCTCCCTCCTTCCCCCACTTGCCCTCCACAGCTCCCGCTGCCTCTTTCCCGCTCCTCCCTCTGGTTTCCTGGGCCCAACAGCCCTCATCCCCCCCGTCCAGCGATCCACTCATTATCTGTCCACTCGTGTCCCTGTCTGCCTCCTTCCAGGCTAAGCCCATGGCCCGTCACACCAGGATCCAGCCCCCAGTCTCTGTGTCAAACCTACCTGGTCGGCCTCCAGCCCTGGCCCCCTGCATGTGGCTATCTGAGCCTGGCTGGTGAGAAACAGCTGTTGTCTGCTTCCTACTAAGGCTTGCTCCTGTGACCTAGGCCGCCGCAAGGCCTTCCTCGCTGCCTTCCACCCCATGCTTTCCTCGGCGACTCTGCTTTCTGCGCTTCATCGTCCTCTCCAGCCTCCACACCTCCTTGCCCCCTCGTCCTGCTCCTGACCTGGCTCCCTTTTTGTCTGAGAAAGTAGAAGCAAATAGTGAGGAACCTCGCCTGCACCTACCAGCCTCTCTGGTCCACGTCTGTAGATTGCACCCCCATGTAAAGCTGCAACCCTCCACACACACACCCCATTCCCAACTTGCCAGCTTTGTTTTTCTCATCAGGACTTAACCACTGCCTGACCTATAGATTTTTGTTATCGTGTCTGGATGTGAACTCCCTGGATTTTTGTCTCTTGTTCACTCCTTTATCCCCTGAGCCCAGCACAGGGCCTGGCACTTGCTGATGCTCAGCAGATACTTGTCAAAAGAAAGTTCGTGGGCAGCCCGGTGGCTCAGCAGCTTAGCCCCGCCTTCAGCCCAGGGCGTGATCCTGGAGACCCGGGATCAAGTCCCACGTCAGGCTCCCTGCATGGAGCCTGCTTCTCCCTCTGCCTGTGTCTCTGCCTTTCTCTCTCTCTCTCCTCTCTGTGTATTCTCATGAATAAATAAATAAAATCTTCAAAAAAAAAGTTCTTGAAATATCACTAAATATCATTTAGTCAAATATTGGACCTCCTGGATTGATCCTCTGATTTTCTTTTCTCTCTAGAACCCTGTTCCATCAGACAACCCTTGTTCCCAGTACTCCAAGGCAAGTGGTGTCCAGGTCCCCATTGCTAACCCAGGGGTCCCCATCTCGGTTGACTCCTGGGCAGTACTGACAGTCCAGCAGTGAATTGATGCCTCCTTCCTCTGTGAGACAAGAATCAGGACATGTCCCAGAGAGTCGATCCCTCTAGATTCCCATCAACTCACTGGCTGCTCCATCTCAGACCCCTTCTCCCCTCTCATCAGTCCACACTTGGAAATTGGGGTGGCTTGGAGCACAGGCCCAACCCCTCCCTGTCCTTGCTGCCTCCCTAGGGCCCCTCCTCAGGTCCGAGTTGTGGTTCGGTGCTATTTGTTCATGACTCCCAAACTCCTGTCCTCCAGAGCCTCCCCAGGACTGCCCATCATCCTCGTCTGAATATCCAACAGACCACTCAGACTGAAAACTTTCCAAACTCAGCTCTGCATTCTTGCCCCTACTCTTACTGACTTTATTAAATGACAGGCTCATTCCCATTGCTCAGACTAAAAACCCTAAGAGTTTCCCCATGTCCATCGAGAAACATTAATGGAGCACCTCCTGTATGCTAGGTACTGGGTTTGCTTGTCTGAGGCTCAGAATAAGACCTGGTGAGGCTGAGGGGGCTCCCTTTGCATAAATCTGCTGGACAAAGACAGGAATTTGTTCTTGTAGAATAAAACTCCAGGGAAAAATTAATTCCAAGGCTCTTTTAATCCATAGTTCCTGTCTCTTCCGTTTCTCCCCTTATCACTCTGCCCCAAAGCCTGAACCGAAATAAAGAAAAACGTGTAAGGGGTGAAAAGGCTTGGAAGTGTGTGAATGTGTGCTTGGACAGCAAATTATCTGACAGGGACAGGCCTTGATGTTGTGGGGTGCACCTAGCCTGGGCCACCCACAGCAAGAATAAGCGTCCTCCCCTCTCTGGACATCAGTGTCCTGACTACTACAGCATGAGTAGCTCCAGCTTTAGTGCTTTACGATTCTCTGAAAACAGCCTGCCCGGGGTGAGGACTGCCTTTCGTATTACAAAATTGGGGAGCAGAGGTCAAGATATTGGGCTGGTCTCCAGAGGAACCCAGCATCTTAGAATGTGTGAGCTGGAAGGGACCTTAGAAATTATGGGTCTCAACTTCCTGTGAGCTCAGCTTGGAAGGTTTCCCCTGTGACATCTACTGACGGTGCAGATTTGGAACTTTTAGGCAAGGCCTAGGAATCTGCCTTTCAGCAAGTTTCCCAGATGGCTCTGAGGCAGGTGCTGGAAGGACAAGACTCACAGAAACCCTGATCTTGTCCAGATCCCTCGCTGGATTGATGCACTGAGATGGGAGGTGGTTCGCCCGGGTATGGCAGCGAAGATGCACTGTGCTTACCACGCGCCAGGCAGGACAGTACGTGCTTTACAGGAGTCGGCTTGTGCAAACTCCATAACAAAACCTGTGAGGTCAGTCCTGTGATCCCTCCGTTTACGGATGAGGAAAGTAGCCCCCTGAGGCGTCGGGTCCCAGGGTCCCAGGGTGACTTGGCGGCAGGGCCCAAAGCCAAGATCAGACCCAGCCTGGCATGCAGGGCTCACCTGCCAGGTGATTGATGGGCTTGGAGAGAACACAGCTTGCTGCCATGATATTCATGAAAGTCAGAGCTCATCTCTCCGTGGGAGCTTATGCACCCTTCCTCTGTTTTAATTTCTTCTTTTTTTTCTGAGTAGCATGGGCAGCAGAGAAAACTCAGAAAATACGTACAAGTAAAAGGGAAAAATAATTCCATCAGCCAGGGATGATGAGGATGAGGATGAGGATGAAGAACCTGATCCTGCCCTGACAACAGCAGCTAACACCTGCTGAGATCTCTCTCAGGCGCGGCCTGGCTCAGTACCCCTTCAACGTTCTGTGTTGACACCTTGGCTTGTTCCCTCCAGCCGTCTCCCTTGGCGCTCAGATACAAATAAATCTAGCTACTTACGCATTCTCTTAAGTGGCTCATACCATGTGCACTCCTTTGCCTTTTCACATCGCAAATGGTCACAAACCTCTTCCCTTGTCACAAAAATGTGCGTTGCCGTCAGCGCCCTGAACCCGTGCCCTGTATTCCCATCACACTTGCCCTGAGCTTGAGGACGTTTGCGAAGGTCCAAGCACGGCCCTAGGGGCCTAGGCAAGCCCGGTCCCCTTGAATGTAGGTACAAGCAAGTGGGTGGGCCCTCCTGGGCTGCTGCTGTCGGGTTCCCTTCCAGCCACCAGATGGCGCTATAGCCCCTCACAAAGCGGAGACCCGGGTGGGGTGACCTCAGCCCTCCAGGGGCCTGGGCTGCTGGGCATTCCTGCAGCACCCGGCAGGTGGCAAAGTGCATTCACCCTCCTGAGCCCCCTGGAGCCCCCCAAGCGGCTGCTGGCAAGGCAGCGTCCTCTCTCCCCAGTCTGGAGGGATGCGTCCTATGAAGGGAAGTCACCGGCTCATGGGTCTCTTGTCCTTGCTGAGTGCCCTTCCGTGTCCCAGACTCCAGTATTCACGCAGATGCCCCCCGGGGTCGGGGGGGAAGGGGGCACCCTCACAGCTCTAAGAGGAGACCCCACTCAGCAGCCTCGTGAACTCGGTTCCCTGGGTTCTCCGTGTCTCTGTACAATTGAGCTTTAAAAATAGCTTTACCTGGTGGGTAACCCTTGCGAACATGGTGCTAAGTGAAGGAAGCCAGACCCAAAGGGCATGTGTGGGGTGATTCCATTTACATGGAATGTCTAGAATAAATAGGCAAATCCATGGAGAAAGAAAGAAGGAAAGAAGGAAGGAAGGAAGGAAGGAAGGAAGGAAGGAAGGAAGGAAGGAAGGAAGAAAGAAAGAAAGAAAGAAAGAAAGAAAGAAAGAAAGAAAGAAAGAAAGAAGAAAGAAGAAAGAGAAGAAAGAAAGAAAGAAAGAAAGAAGGAAGAAAGAGAGAAAGAAAGAAAGAAAGAAGAAAGAAAGAAAAAGAAAGAAAGAAAGAAAGAAAGAAAGAAAGAAAGAAAGAAAGAAGGAAAGAAAGAAAGAAGAAAAGAAAAGAAAGAAAAGAAAAGAAAAAAAAAAAGAAAAGAGCAGATGTCCGCAGCTGGGGGACGGGGTTATGGGAAGTGGCTGCTCACAAGTTTGAGATTTCCACTTGAGATG